TGTCTGATATTAGGATATTTACATAGAGGGATTGTAAAAACACGGATGCTGTGTCGGCTGTGTGTCTGATATTAGGATATTTACATAGAGGGATTGTGAAGAGACGGGTGCTGTGTCGGCTGTCTGTCTGATATTAGGATATTTATACAGAGGGATTGTGAAGAGACGGATGCTGTGTCGGCTGTGTGTCTGATATTAGGATATTTATACAGAGGGATTGTGAAGAGACGGATGCTGTGTCGGCTGTCTGTCTGATATTAGGATATTTACATAGAGGGATTGTAAAGACACGGATGCTGTGTCGGCTGTCTGTCTGATATTAGGATATTTATACAGAGGAATTGTAAAGACACGGATGCTGTGTCGACTGTGTGTCCGATATTAGGATATTTATACAGAGGGATTGTAAAGAGACGGATGCTGTGTCGGCTGTGTGTCCGATGTTAGGATATCGATACAGAGGGATTGTGAAGAGACGGATGCTGTGTCGGCTGTCTGTCTGATATTAGGATATTTACATACAGAGATTGTAAAGAGACGGGTGCTGTGTCGGCTGTGTGTCTGATATTAGGATATTTATACAGAGGGATTGTAAAGAGACGGATGCTGTGTCGACTGTGTGCCTGATATTAGGATATCGATACAGAGAGATTGTAAAGACACGGATGCTGTGTCGGCTGTGTGTCTGATATTAGGATATTTATACAGAGGAATTGTAAAGACACGGATGCTGTGTCGGCTGTCTGTCTGATATTAGGATATTTACATACTGAGATTGTGAAGAGACGGGTGCTGTGTCGGCTGTGTGTCTGATATTAGGATATTTATACAGAGGGATTGTAAAGAGACGGGTGCTGTGTCGGCTGTGTGTCTGATATTTATACAGAGGGATTGTGAAGAGACGGATGCTGTGTCGGCTGTGTGGTAACTATTAGCCAAGAGACTCTAAATAGGCAGATTCATTACCATTGAAGGAATATCTGGCTTGCAATCCGACAGAAAGATTCTGTTAAAATTGTCTGATAAAGATTTCTATCCGGAGGTATTGCAGTTAAGAAGTTATTTAAAAAGCTTGATTGTCCCAGAAATCGTTAAATGTTATTGTGCTGTTATTTTAGGCCTGTTTCTCTGATTTAAAAATCTTTTCCAATATGTTCATTGGAATAAGAAAATAATTGAAAATAACAACGATTTATATAGTTTGGTATGAGTTATAAGCCTTTCAAACATTTGTGAATGGAGTGTTGTTTCAATACGTATAGTACAGAATTAAGAAAATACGTGTACATGTAAAGCAATTTTATTCTACTAACAAACAAAATCTGAATATACATTCATCACTAACATTGTAGTTCATTAAATTGATAATTAGTCTGCTCAGTTTTGCTGTTTGTAGTGATACATTTAATTCACCACTAATGATATTCTACATTGTTAATGTTGCTGAAAGTAAAGGATGTACTCCAGGATTGGTTACTTATATCTTACCTTACAGTTAATTTTGTTCATGTACATTACGATTTGTACAAAAGACATAGACGTGATGATTGATAATATACATGTATCTCGATACAAAGATACAGTAGAGTCAAATAATGAATTACAGACATGGTCAGTTCATCCTTCTACAAGTTGTTAGTCTTACGCTACACCATGTAAACATATGTAGGAATCAAAAAGTAAGGAATAACGTGATATTTAGTAATGATAATAGTAAAAAATAAAAACGAACACCTTTTTCTAATGTTGACGCTATCACAATGATAATTAGATTATAAAAATATAAGGTGTATAAGGCACAAGGATCTGTTCTTAAGATTTTTATCCGAGAAACAAATGTTCTACATTGAAACGGGAAAGTAACGTGAACCTGATGCACTATATACTGAAATATATCTCTATAGATATATTTCACAGCTTATCACTACAGTGACCACTGTACCACAAGGCAAGCAATTTATTGAAAAAAATGGATGGTAAGGTACCTTTTGAAGATTCTATTCTCATTACTCGCAAACTATGCTATTTGGATTTAAGGAGAACGTTTAAGTAATTTTCCTAGAATTCCAAATGAGCTGCATGATGATGTTTAAAATGTCAATAACGTATCTATTCGGAATTACTCAAACATGATAAACAAATACAGGACAAACATAGTAAAATTATTATAGCGTTCATTACCTGCATGAACTTTAATACAAAACAGGCTTCCAGCACAGCATTATAGAAATACCGCTGATCAATGGTGTGTATAAGTGGTTTATGAGAGAAGTACTAACTCAAGTCAAGAAATATTATTTACAAATCAGGAATATCATCATAGGTACCATCGGAAATATCATAGATACCATCGGAAATATCATAGGTACCATCGGAAATATCATAGGTATCATAGGAAATATCATAGATACCATCGGAAATATCATAGGTACCATCGGAAATATCATAGGTTCACCATCGGAAATATCATAGGTTCACCATCGGAAATATCATAGGTACCATCGGAAATATCATAGGTACCATCGGAAATATCATAGGTACCATAGGAAATATCATAGGTACCATCGGAAATATCATAGGTACCATCGGAAATATCATAGGCTTACCATCGGAAATATCATAGGTACCATCGGAAATATCATAGGCTTACCATCGGAAATATCATAGGTTCACCATCGGAAATATCATAGGTACCATCGGAAATATCATAGGTTCACCATCGGAAATATTATAGGTACCATCGGAAATATCATAGGTACCATCGGAAATATCATAGGTACCATCGGAAATATCATAGGCTTACCATCGGAAATATCATAGGTACCATCGGAAATATCATAGGTTCACCATCGGAAATATCATAGGTTCACCATCGGAAATATCATAGGTACCCCCGGAAATATCATAGGCTTACCATCGGAAATATCATAGGTACCATCGGAAATATCATAGGTACCATCGGAAATATCATAGGTACCCCCGGAAATATCATAGGCTTACCATCGGAAATATCATAGGTACCATCGGAAATATCATAGGTACCATCGGAAATATCATAGGTACCATCGGAAATATCATAGGTACCATAGGAAATATCATAGGTACCCCCGGAAATATCATAGGTACCATCGGAAATATCATAGGTACCATCGGAAATATCATAGGCTTACCATCGGAAATATCATAGGTACCATCGGAAATATCATATAATCTTAGCCTGACTAAAAATTAAACTAGAACAAAACAAAATCTTCTAAATCTCAAATAAAGTTTGTTGTCATGGCTTTACTGTGTATGTTTCATATATCCATTAGATTCCAATGTCAGATGTGCTCCTACGGGTTTATATACATTAACAATAACTCATTGTATGTAACAAAATTGAAAAATAAACATTTGATTTCGTGGCTATACAAACACGTAAGTAAATCACGTATCTAAAATATGATTTTATTTCTGTATTTGTCTGTGTGACAACCACACAACGTTACACACAATCTACAAATAAATATCACGGCCATGGAAAAATGTCTCATCTCTTGTATTTAATCGGACATCCAAATATTTATCACTTTGTAGATAAGTCATTTCTGAATATTATGCAAGATTAAATAATATGAAAATAACTGTACACATTTCTATATTAATTAAAGCAAGAAGACTTTGACAAACCTTGGATAATTTTACACATAACCTCATTATACAGGACAGAATTAAAAAATAAAACAAGTTTATTGGTTAATCCGTTATTTATCCCGACGAAGACAGCTGTACAGAATGTCTAGACACACATTTCTAACAAAACGTTATTTATCCCGAAGAAGACAGCTGTACAAGGTGTACAGACACATATTACTCACAAACCGTTATTGATCTCGACAAAGACAGCTGTACAAGGTGTACAGACACTCATTACTCACAAACCGTTATTTATCCCGAAGACATCCTCAAAAGATTAAATCTTTTACACCAACAACTTTAGTCTTTTATTCACGCTTGGAGAAGGAAGTCCTACTTATTTCTGCCATAGAGTTTCTTTTTGTTAACGTAAAGTATATAAGTGGTACACTGAACATAAAGGGAGACAACTCCCCAAGTTTCTGACACGTTACATGTTTGTACATGAACACAATGTTTTCGGAGATCAAGAGAAAAGTTGTACACTAAGAAGAAAACAATACATTTAACAATTACATAACACAGGATTCTAGTAATTACATAACACAGGATTCTAGTAATTACATAACACAGGATTCTAGTAATTACATAACACAGGATTCTAGTAATTACATAACACAGGATTAATTACATAACACAGTAATTACATAACACAGGATTACATAACACAGTAATTATATTTCATAACACAGGAAAACATATCTTATCTGAGGCTTTAAACATTGAATAAAACAATTTTCATATCTTATAACATAGCACATAAAAAATAAAAATCCGATTGATACGTGTTAAGTATATATGACTGAACAAGTAAGCCGGTATAGTGGCTGTAATGACAACACAAAAACATCTAACACCCACAATAATGTTCATCCCATAAAGTAGGTAGTTTTCAAGCACCATCCTTCATGTACGTGAGGACCAGTTTGTCCTTTGTGTTTGTTTCTAATTAAAATGAAATCTTACACCTAGAAAAGGATTAAAACATCGGTAAAATGTTTAGACCCTGAATTAGATAACAAAATAAGTGTTTCTCATTGTGAAACATTTCACGAAAGCTGGGCTACTATTGACCTCAATGAAGCTAGAATTTGATACCACATGATTCTTCAACTAGACAAGATGTTTGAAAATAGGAAACATAATCCTTGATGTTTTCGAAAGATATACTAAAATATAAAATGTCTGCTTTCCATGGTTATGTAGCAATTTTCATAACAATGTTTTACTTTCTATTTTGTACGGTTTACAGGAACACATATGACGATATCCGAACAAAGGTCGGTTGAACCCGCAGTTTGGAGAAGCCTGAATGTAGAAACCTAATCAGTGACGTATGTTTCGATACGAAACTCCGGCTCCTTTCTGGGGCCAACATTGGTGCGCTGATGGTGCTGCTGTTTATACTGCGGCGGTTGGGTAGGATTGCTGGCTGGCACCCGCTGGGGAACCACGGCGGTATTTGGAGTAACAGACTGCTGGTAATAAGTCTGTTGAGGAGCATATGCTGGTTGCAACTGCATGTTGTCATAGGTTCGGCTGTCGTATGCAGGATTCACGTTGGGTTTACCTGTACTTTTCACCCATTTATGATAGCGTTGTTCACCATTGGTCCCAATGCTTCCACCGTCGCCGTTCAGATGTTTCGGTAAGTACTTAAGATCCTGTGAAGTTAGAACGAAAGTGTTTAAACAAGTTTACTTATTTTGAAATCTAAAAACAACTTGCTTATTTTCATCCGAATAAGTTCTGGCGATATCTATCCAACATTATGTGTCTTTTACTTCCTTCTCCTGCAACGAAGTTGGGATTATACTGGTATCATATTGTCTGTCTGACTGTTTGTAGGTAGAAAATATAAATTCAGTATGCAGATCTTTGCACAGAATGTAGTATATCTTATATCTTAATTAAGCAGTTATAAAACTGGATTACTGTGACCTACATTTTGACCAGCGGCTGATTTTTTCAGTTGGTTTATTTTCTAAACTTTTGGAAATTGCAGAAGGAATAAGAAATATAGGGGAAAATGAAAAAATATCATATGGCTTTGTCACCTCTATATCTCGAAATTACAACATCAGACATACAACAATGACAAAGTTAGGACGACATCTGACGTACAACAATGACCAAGTTATGACGACATCAGACATACAACAATGACAAAGTTATGACGACATCTGACGTACAACAATGACTTCGTTATGACAATATCTGACAAACAACAATGACCAAGTTATCACGATATCTGACATACAACAATGACCAAGTTATGACGATATCTGACCTACAACAATGACCAAGTTATCACGATATCTGACCTACAACAATGACCAAGTTATCACGATATCTGACATACAACAATGACCAAGTTATGACGATATCTGACATACAACAATGACCAAGTTATGACGATATCTGACATACAACAATGACCAAGTTATGACGATATCTGACCTACAACAATGACCAAGTTATGACGATATCTGACCTACAACAATGACCAAGTTATCACGACATCTGACATACAACAATGACCAAGTTATGACGATATCTGACATACAACAATGACCAAGTTATCACGATATCTGACATACAACAATGACCAAGTTATGACGATATCTGACATACAACAATGACCAAGTTATGACGATATCTGACCTACAACAATGACCAAGTTATGACGATATCTGACATACAACAATAACCAAGTTATCACGATATCTGACCTACAACAATGACCAAGTTATGACGATATCTGACATACAACAATGATCAAGTTATCACGATATCTGACCTACAACAATGACCAAGTTATGACGATATCTGACCTACAACAATGACCAAGTTATGACGATATCTGACCTACAACAATGACCAAGTTATCACGATATCTGACCTACAACAATGACCAAGTTATGACGATATCTGACCTACAACAATGACCAAGTTATCACGATATCTGACATACAACAATGACCAAGTTATCACGATATCTGACCTACAACAATGACCAAGTTATGACGATATCTGACATACAACAATGACCAAGTTATGACGATATCTGACATACAACAATGACCAAGTTATGACGATATCTGACATACAACAATGACCAAGTTATGACGATATCTGACATACAACAATAACCAAGTTATCACGATATCTGACCTACAACAATGACCAAGTTATGACGATATCTGACATACAACAATGATCAAGTTATCACGATATCTGACCTACAACAATGACCAAGTTATCACGATATCTGACATACAACAATAACCAAGTTATCACGATATCTGACCTACAACAATGACCAAGTTATGACGATATCTGACCTACAACAATGACCAAGTTATCACGATATCTGACCTACAACAATGACCAAGTTATGACGATATCTGACATACAACAATGACCAAGTTATGACGATATCTGACATACAACAATGACCAAGTGATGACGATATCTGACCTACAACAATGACCAAGTTATGACGATATCTGACCTACAACAATGACCAAGTTATGACGATATCTGACATACAACAATAACCAAGTTATCACGATATCTGACCTACAACAATGACCAAGTTATGACGATATCTGACCTACAACAATGACCAAGTTATGACGATATCTGACATACAACAATGACCAAGTTATGACGATATCTGACCTACAACAATGACCAAGTTATCACGATATCTGACCTACAACAATGACCAAGTTATGACGATATCTGACCTACAACAATGACCAAGTTATGACGATATCTGACCTACAACAATGACCAAGTTATGACAATGACCAAGTTATGACGATATCTGACCTACAACAATGACCAAGTTATGACGATATCTGACCTACAACAATGACCAAGTTATGACGATATCTGACCTACAACAATGACCAAGTTATCACGATATCTGACCTACAACAATGACCAAGTTATGACGATATCTGACATACAACAATGACCAAGTTATGACGATATCTGACCTACAACAATGACCAAGTTATGACGATATCTGACATTATAATACAACATTAGTTAATGTTTGCTCTCTTTTCTTAATTGTTTGTATTGTAGACGCATCAATTAAAGCTATATTTTTAATGATTCACATATGGTAATGTTACTAGGAATGATTTTGTATTTTTCCTTTTAGTACATGTTAGTTATCCCTGGATGATGGCAATGTATATTTATGTACCTTGTAGTTAATTAGTGTTAATAGGATACAGGACCAACCCAAAATTAAGAAAATAGTAAAATAAATAGGCCAGCTACAAAAACCTTCCTTTACATTAAGGTTTTTGTTGAGTTTAGATATAATATGGAAACTGTGCACCAAAGCAATCTTTATAATAATCAAACAAGCATGAAACATTGGTAGTTCTACAATAAAGGACGAATAACAGTGAAATATCATGTTGTGAATGGAAAAGGATTGCCGTTTCCACATGCTCTAAGAAACAGTTCAAATTTAATACACCAAATAAGACATTTCAAACCCACTTTCCGCATGTTGTTTGGATAACAGTTAAAATTGATGTTTTCTGTGAGAACGATACTTTTAGAAGGTTTATGTGAGAACAAATTGAATAAATTCTTAGAGGATGAAATGTCATTTGGGGAAATATGCATATTTTGCAGGTCAAATGATATATTGAACTATACGCTTACTTAGGCCATAACTCAATGGGGTATAAACTTGTTCAAACTTAAAGGGCCGTAACTCTGGTCAAGATTTACTACGGGACATAACTCTGTTTAGATTGAACAAAAGGGTTAGGCTTTACTGTTAAAACTGAACGAAATGGACATAATATTAATCATGAAAACTCATTTTCATTAAATGACGTCTAGCTGTCCTTGTTAGTAATTAAGAAATTACACGTATAAAAATATCATCAGAAGGTACCATTGAAATGATACTTGCAGAAGGGATATAACAAAAGGTGCAATAAGATAATAAAACTGGACAGTGCGTTTGTTACAGCATTGATTCTGTCGATCAACCAGTCATTCAGACTCACCAGTACGTTTTATAATATAAGCGGTTTGAACCCAAAAGAAAAAGAATAAATAAGTACATTGTATGGCGACAGATATTACTGTTAACGCTATATGAGGAATGACTCTAAAATATGTTAAATAGATGTCCTCTAAATGGTTGATAAATAAGCTGAGATTGATTATAAATCAGTTTATTTCTATAACTATAACAACAATCTTGAAAAATGGTTACTATGGTTCTACACACAGATCTCTTTTCTCGTTTTCTAGAATTTTTATGAACCATCTACATACATCGTATACTTTTGTCAGGTGACTGTAAAATTACACCAGCCCAAGAGACTTTACATCTTGTTAAAGTATACAAATGTAACATTAAAAGTAAAAACTTGTTTGACTATAAAAAAGCTGGTTTCAAATTACTCCACATAAAAGCCAAGCGATTACCAGGTTAGAAGACGAAAGCAGAAGACACCATCTACACTACTATAGGTGTGAAATAATCGCCATTCCAGCAGTGCCGTTCACTACCTCCTTGGTTTGGTGTTTCTTGTTGTGGTTACGGACACAGTTGCACATTCCCAGTAGTAGGACAAGCAAGACAGAGGCACCGACGAATGCCAGAATGATGATGAGGGGAAGAGGAATATCGTCCAAAGTCTCCACTTCAGCGGGTTTCATGGTTGTCGCAACCACTGAAATAAATCAACAGTGGTTTTACTTAATGTTAGCAGCTGTAAACACACTGCAAGTGTGTATTAAAGTGTATCAAAGGAATCGTATCTCATGATGGTATCCTTTCCTTAACACGTTTCGATAACCTTGAATTTAACACGAATTCTACATTGGGAATGTTCATAGTACATAGACTTAATATTCCAAACAGGAAGAAATATGACTACCTGATTTATTTAAGAAAACCAGATATAGTTTAAACACCAGGAGTGTTCCGTGTTATACCACACAACGAAACAATTAACATAAGAAATGCTCAATATGTGGATATACCTGGTCATATGTACTGGATGTTCTTTTGAAATCTCCCGACATTTGGAAAATAAAATTCATCACTTTTTTTTTTTACTTATATGCCTCCCTATCAAGAGTTTGAAATTTCTTTTGACAATTCTGATTTTCCTCCGTCGCGTCAAAGGTTTCATTACCTAAAGCACTACAGCATCACTTTTTTTATAATACAATTCTGATTTTCCTCCGTCGCGTCAAAGGTTTCATTACCTAAAGCACTACAGCATCACTGACCTTAGGGACGAAACGTTTCTATAATACAATTCTGATTTTCCTCCGTCGCGTCAAAGGTTTCATTACCTAAAGCACTACAGCATCACTGACCTTAGGGACGAAACGTTTCTATAATACAATTCTGATTTTCCTCCGTCGCGTCAAAGGTTTCATTACCTAAGGCACTACAGCATCACTGACCTTAGGGACGAAACGTTTCTATAATACAATTCTATTTTCTTATTTGGATATACCTATCTAGTTCTAAATGTGTACTGGTAGGCGCACAACTCTAAAGATGTCATTTCGACAGTTTAGAGGGACTTTCGTATTCTTAATGTGCAGGAAGGATATCTTCCTTTTTATCAGATCGTCCACGTTAAAAACATTCAATTTGAAATGGTACTACTTGGTTTCCCTCCTCATTATGCATACTGTTCTCTCACAATGTACCAGAGAATTTCATGTAACGAAAAAAAGATATAAAACGGAATAAACAGTGGAAAAATATATTGAAAATTACCGAGGTAAAGCACTTTCGTGAAAATAGATTTAAAGTGTATATTTTACCAAAAATAAAAATAATACTGTGAAAGTAGACTTAAAGCAAGTATGTAAATGAAAATACAAGTTCCATGATAAAAGACTCAATGTAAACATTTTAAAAAAAATAGCAAAACTTTGACGAAACTTTTTGAAAAATATACATGTATCAAGCTGAGCTTTATGGACATGAAAACATATGACATCACACTGAAGTACCAAAGTCAAGTAACTCTCACCTGCTTCAGACTCGCTAATCATCAAAGACGTCCTGTCAACAGTATATTCTCCTAAAGTGCCAGAGCTCAAGGCTTGTTGCATTGTTGTATTGACAGCAGAGTTGACCTCTTGGGCCGATCCGACCACCTCCACCTCCGAGGCCACAATTACACTTCCTCGTCTGTACAACAGCAAAACTTAATATCAATAGCCAATATTTGCTTCCATTGCCTGGGTCAGCAATGCGAACAAAAATGTAGAAACTTTACGATGAAATAAAACATTCAGGCAGAAATGAATTAACAGTTTTCTATATCATGGCTAAATGTAGCTGTTACTCATGGAGTCAATGCACCTCCCCATCTAAATAATGACTTTTCTTTCGATCAATTTTCGTTAACATCCTCCACCTCTTAGGCTTCAAAATAACGGACCGTTACATCACGGACAAGTATTAGATGGACAAAACAGCTGTATGATGCAGCAGTATCGATAGTTTTGGCTTTACTGTATATTTGTTTAAAAGGTGCAATTCACTTGTTTGTCTTTTGTACGAGCATGAACTCTTAATGGAAGACATCGGCAAGTGACTAGTTTTAAGAGATTGTAGTCAGCCAATTTGCCTGAATATTAAATTTAGGAACTCAGGAAGGACTGAAGACATTCCATTTCGTTAGAGAACATTTGGAAAGATGTTAATAAGAGTTTTGTTTCTTTATGAATGAAAGCAAGTAGAAGAAAAGAAAAGAAATGAAAAGTGTACTTACGTAAATTTGGTGACTGAGTAAATCACGTATCCTGACATCCTTGAAAGAATAGGTATCAACTGAAACACATATAAATACCATAGTAAGGGATTAACGGTGAGAAAAATCATTGAAACGGAATATTGAAAAAAAAAGACAAAAAACCTGTAAAGATATAGGCAAACATGTGAAGTTTGTTTAAGGACTGATGTTTGCGTGTTTATAACAGCTCTAAAAAACTTGAAGGGAAACAACTGGATAAATAAAAAAATAAGAAATAACATTGTCCAAGATAGTAGATTTCACTGATATGAACAAAAACAACAGGATTTCCATGTAATAAGATATGTATAGGAAAAGGAAATGTCTTGTAAAAATCATGTATTTTCCAATCAAGTGCAACAACTAACAAAAACGGATTAAGTATAAGGAGAAAATAAATATATATATTACAAGTGTGTGTGGGAAGGGGGTATTTCATCAAACATTGTCTCTGTTGTCAAAATAATCACTTTCACAGAAAATATTTTACATAATATTTGTTAAGTAAATACCTCAGTAACGCAGGTGCTTGTCACCTTCATAAAACTGTTATCCTTTCAATTACACAAACATGTAACACAAACAATACAAAATAGACATTGTGCTGATATTTACCTACATGCAATGCATATGTCTCTTATTTGGGTAAATCGGCCCAACTATGAAGGAGTGATTAGAAAGATTTAATAGGCTTACACTAGCTTCAACTCGAGACTTGAGTGACCTGAAAGCATTAGAGCTGGTGTCGGCTAATTCTTCCTGCCAAACGATATCCTGAAGTCGGAACTGCATGGTCACTTTGCGTGTTGGTCCAATGGGAACAGTTGGAGGGGATGGAGAAGTAGTGGGGGCTGTAATTACACAAAACACAATATTTACTCTCCGCCATCTCCTCTTGGTTGTTCGTAAAACATCAAGGTCCATTGGCCTAATGTTTGATTTCACTCGGGTTATTGAATTATTGGTATTTAATTTAGAACTAAGAAAAGGTGGTTTGATACTTTAATTTGGCACCATTTTCCCATTATTTCTCAAATTCTGCACAACGAGACAGAGTTTAGTATTTTAATTTTGCTCCATACCAAAGTACTTTTAGTAATATAATTTGGCATCATGAAAAAAAATGTTTGTGGTATTTTAATTTAGTTCAGGATAAACTTATTTATAGTTTCATATTTGTATGTTGGAGGTTTCAATGTAGGAAACTGACCACTGCCTCCACACTGCACACAATACTGCTCAGCAATAGGAGTGCTGTCATGGTAAGCAATGGTTCTGGTCACAGGATCAAACGTTCCTCCCAGGCCGAAGAAAAAGTAAAGGCAGGAATCTGGTGTCAATTGCATGTCTAATGTGGAATCTGAGGTTGTCAGTGGGCGTGTAAAGTTAAGGACGGTAATTCCATTTGCTCGAGATCCAGATACATCAATCAAGGAATTCGTATCTTCAGCTGGCATAAATCTACCTGCAGCCCACCTGTACAAATTAGGGAAAATTACAAGACAAAATAACAAAACATAATACCGATGTCATATCATATTTGTACCCCATCATACAAGATACCAATGTATCCTAGTATACAGGTTCAACATTTAGATACCAAGGTATCCTAGTATAAAGGTTCAACATTTAGATACCAATGTATCCTAGTATACAGGTTCAACAGTTAGATACCAAGGTATCCTAGTATACAGGTTCAACATTTAGATACCAAGGTATCCTAGTATACATGCTCACAGTTAGATACCAAGGTATCCTAGTATAAAGGTTCAACATTTAGATACCAATGTATCCTAGTATACAGGTTCAACAGTTAGATACCAAGGTATCCTAGTATACAGGTTCAACATTTAGATACTAAGGTATCCTAGTATACAGGTTCAACATTTAGATACCAAGGTATCCTAGTATAAAGGTTCAACAGTTAGATACCAAGGTATCCTAGTATAAAGGTTCAACATTTAGATACCAATGTATCCTAGTATACAGGTTCAATATTTAGATACCAATGTATCCTAGTATACAGGTTCAATATTTAGATACCAAGGTATCCTAGTATAAAGGTTCCACATTTAGATATCAAGGTATCCTTAGTATACAGGTTCAACATTTAGATACCAAGGTATCCTAGTATACATGCTCACAGTTAGATACCAAGGTATCCTAGTATACAGGTTCAACATTTAAATACCAAGGTATCCTAGTATACAGGTTCAACATTGAGATACCAAGGTATCCTAATATAAAGGTTCAACATTTAGATACCAAGGTATCCTAGTATACAGGTTCAACATTTAGATACCAAGGTATCCTAGTATAAAGGTTCAACATTTAGATACCAAGGTATCCTAGTATACAGGTTCAACATTTAGATACCAAGGTATCCTTAGTATACAGGTTCAACAGTTAGATACCAATGTATCCTAGTATAAAGGTTCAACATTTAGATACCAAGGTATCCTAGTATACAGGTTCAACAGTTAGATACCAAGGTGTCCTAGTATAAAGGTTCAACATTTAGACACCAAGGTATCCTAGTATACAGGTTCAACATTTAGATACCAAGGTATCCTAGTATACAGGTTCACTGTTAGATACCAAGGTATCCTAGTATAAAGGTTCAACATTTAGATACCAATGTATCCTAGTATACAGGTTCACTGTTAGATACCAAGGTACCCTAGTATACAGGTTCAACATTTAGATACCAAGGTATCCTAGTATACAGGTTCAACAGTTAGATACCAAGGTATCTTAGTATAAAGGTTCAACATTTAGATACCAAGGTATCCCAGTATACAGGTTCAACAGTTAGATACCAAGGTATCCTAGTATAAAGGTTCAACATTTAGATACCAAGGTATCCTAGTATACAGGTTCAACAGTTAGATACCAAGGTATCCTAGTATAAAGGTTCAACATTTAGATACCAAGGTATCCTAGTATACAGGTTCAACATTTAGATACCAAGGTATCCTAGTATAAAGGTTCACTGTTAGATACCAAGGTATCCTAGTATAAAGGTTCAACATTTAGATACCAATGTATCCTAGTATACAGGTTCACTGTTAGATACAAGGTACCCTAGTATTAGGTTCAACAGTTAGATACCAAGGTATCCTAGTATACAGGTTCAACAGTTAGATACCAAGGTATCCTAGTATAAAGGTTCAACATTTAGATACCAAGGTATCCTAGTATACAGGTTCAACATTTAGATACCATGGTATCCTTAGTATACAGGTTCAACATTTAGATACCATGGTATCCTAGTATACAGGTTCAACAGTTAGATACCAAGGTGTCCTAGTATAAAGGTTCAACATTTAGACACCAAGGTATCCTAGTATACAGGTTCAACATTTAGATACCAAGGTATCCTAGTATACAGGTTCACTGTTAGATACCAAGGTATCCTAGTATAAAGGTTCAACATTTAGATACCAATGTATCCTAGTATACAGGTTCACTGTTAGATACCAAGGTACCCTAGTATACAAGTTCAACATTTAGATACCAAGGTATCCTAATACAGGTTCAACAGTTAGATACCAAGGTATCTTAGTATAAAGGTTCAACATTTAGATACCAAGGTATCCCAGTATACAGGTTCAACAGTTAGATACCAAGGTATCCTAGTATAAAGGTTCAACATTTAGATACCAAGGTATCCTAGTATACAGGTTCAACAGTTAGATACCAAGGTATCCTAATATAAAGGTTCAACATTTAGATACCAAGGTATCCTAGTATACAGGTTCAACATTTAGATACCAAGGTATCCTAGTATAAAGGTTCACTGTTAGATACCAAGGTATCCTAGTATAAAGGTTCAACATTTAGATACCAATGTATCCTAGTATACAGGTTCACTGTTAGATACCAAGGTACCCTAGTATACAGGTTCAACATTTAGATACCAAGGTATCCTAGTATACAGGTTCAACAGTTAGATACCAAGGTATCCTAGTATAAAGGTTCAACATTTAGATACCAAGGTATCCTAGTATACAGGTTCAACATTTAGATACCATGGTATCCTTAGTATACAGGTTCAACATTTAGATACCATGGTATCCTAGTATAAAGGTTCAACATTTAGATACCAATGTATCCTAGTATACAGGTTCAACAGTTAGATACCAAGGTATCCTAGTATACAGGTTCAACAGTTTGATATCCAGGTGTAGTAGTCAAATTGCCTTAAAAGATACACTGTTATCGTTGTTTGACGGTCCAACATTTAGAAACACAAATGTCCTAGTAAAGTTCTGCCATACTTTTATAAACATTATAAATTATGTGTAATTAATGGCAAGAGTTTAAATTAAATGTATTTAATCACCTGTCTGTCATGACTGCGACCCCGTCAAAAACCCAGCCTGCGAGGACATCCGTGTTGGCCTAAAATAGGATAAAAATTCTTGAGAAATTGAGAAAAAACAATTATGCACATTACGTATACATCATCAACAAAAAAATGACCAGATGGAACATAGTTATATTCAAAACTCAAATTCAATCAGACTTTGGTAAAATATGAACAAAAATAAATTTACACGGAGACTCCTGAAAAGGACATGGACAATCAGACAAGGTATTTTGGAAGAGTATTTTTTTTCTACTTCATCCTCAATGTAATTCTTGGTCAATGCAGGTAAGCAATGTCGCCTTCTCAAATGAGAAGAAAGTATTCAGAAACGTAACCAACACGCAAACTATAACACACAATTAACACATATTTGCAGATTTACACATATTATAGAATAGAACTTCACGTGATTAGTAAACCAATCTATTGAAGGACGAGTAGCAGTTCATCAGTTTTCCTCACTTACCATTTGGTTGTTAGAGGACAAACCCAGAGCAATATACTGGTTATCGGCAACACGAGCCGTCATGCTGAATCTAATGGCGGACTCATCTGGCATATACACCCAGGTGACCATGTGATCACCGTTTGCCCACATACAGGTATCTGATTGGCTGGCGTTTGTTACAGGTTTTTCTGTAAGCAAATATCATTCCATTTATATGGTATCTAACAAGAATCCATTGAGTGATTTTCCATACAGCCTTGACGTTTATTATCAAGTTTTTTTTTTAAATATTCTGACCCTTTCGATAATATTATCTTTAACACATGTAGGTTGTCTCTTTCTTCTGTTTCACTTGAATTTATAGGTTATGCTTATCCACCTATTACTCTATATAACTTACTCAGAAAGTTGACTCGGCTTGTTCCCCGTTTGATGTTTCCATGGTATTTCAGCTCATCCTCTTTGTAGAAGAGTTTATCAGAGACTGTGGTCACAGCTTCCAGACCAGAATTTGGGCTGTGATTGTAACCCGAATTTTCCTGTCCATGTGCCCAAATTACATGCATAAAATCATTGGTGATCTCATAATCCGTCCTTTCAGTGACTGTAAGAGAAAAATTTAGTCCGATTTTTAAAAAACTGAAACAAATCCTAGAAATCCGTAAAGGCAAATCTGAATAAAGTAAAACTACCAACCAAATATAAATACAGAGAAAATATCAAACGAATCTAAATACATCTGAAGTCAACTGACTGAAACATAATCAGCCTTCAGGAACAACAATATCTGACCGTTACTGACTGAAACATACTCAGCCTTCAGGAACAACAATATCTGACCGTTACTGACTGAAACATACTCAGCCTTCAGGAACAACAATATCTGACCGTTACTGACTGAAACATACTCAGCCTTCAGGAACAACAATATCTGACCGTTACTGACTGAAACATACTCAGCCTTCAGGAACAACAATATCTGACCGTTACTGACTGAAACATACTCAGCCTTCAGGAACAACAATATCTGACCGTTACTGACTGAAACATACTCAGCCTTCAGAGACAACAATATCTGACCGTTACTGACTGAAACATACTCAGCCTTCAGGAACAACAATATCTGACCGTTACTGACTGAAACATACTCAGCCTTCAGGAACAACAATATCTGACCGTTACTGACTGAAACATACTCAGCCTTCAGGAACAACAATATCTGACCGTTACTGACTGAAACATACTCAGCCTTCAGGAACAACAATATCTGACCGTTACTGACTGAAACATACTCAGCCTTCAGGAACAACAATATCTGACCGTTACTGACTGAAACATACTCAGCCTTCAGGAACAACAATATCTGATCGTTACTGACTGAAACATACTCAGCCTTCAGGAACAACAATATCTGACCGTTACTGACTGAAACATACTCAGCCTTCAGGAACAACAATATCTGACCGTTACTGACTGAAACATACTCAGCCTTCAGAGACAACAATATCTGAACTTTACTGACTGAAACATACTCAGCCTTCAGAGACAACAATATCTGACCGTTACTGACTGAAACATACTCAGCCTTCAGAGACAACAATATCTGACCGTTACTGACTGAAACATACTCAGCCTTCAGGAACAACAATATCTGACCGTTACTGACTGAAACATACTCGGCCTTTAGAGACAACAATATCTGAACTTTACTGACTGAAACATACTCAGCCTTCAGAGACAACAATATCTGACCGTTACTGACTGAAACATACTCAGCCTTCAGAGACAACAATATCTGACCGTTACTGACTGAAACATACTCAGCCTTCAGAGACAACAATATCTGACCGTTACTGACTGAAACATACTCAGCCTTCAGAGACAACAATATCTGAACTTTACTGACGGAAACATACTCAGCCTTCAGAGACAACAATATCTGACCGTTACTGACTGAAACATACTCAGCCTTCAGAGACAACAATATCTGACCGTTACTGACTGAAACATACTCAGCCTTCAGAGACAACAATATCTGATCGTTACTGACTGAAACATACTCAGCCTTCAGAGACAACAATATCTGACCGTTACTGACTGAAACATACTCAGCCTTCAGAGACAACAATATCTGACCGTTACTGACTGAAACATACTCAGCCTTCAGAGACAACAATATCTGAACTTTACTGACGGAAACATACCCAGCCTTCAGAGACAACAATATATCTGACTGAAACATACTCAGCCTTCAGAGACAACAATATCTGACTGAAACATACTCAGCCTTCAGAGACAACAATATCTGACCGTTACTGACTGAAACATACTCAGCCTTCAGAGACAACAATATCTGACCGTTACTGACTGAAACATACTCAGCCTTCAGAGACAACAATATCTGAACTTTACTGACGGAAACATACTCAGCCTTCAGAGACAACAATATCTGACCGTTACTGACTGAAACATACTCAGCCTTCAGAGACAACAATATCTGAACTTTACTGACGGAAACATACTCAGCCTTCAGAGACAACAATATCTGAACGTTACTGACTGAAACATACTCAGCCTTCAGAGACAACAATATCTGAACTTTACTGACGGAAACATACTCAGCCTTCAGAGACAACAATATCCTAACTTTACTGACTGAAACATACTCAGCCTTCAGGGACAACGATATCTGAACTTTACTGACGGAAACATACTCAGCCTTCAGAGACAACAATATCTGATCGTTACTGACTGAAACATACTCAGCCTTCAGAGACAACAATATCTCTAACTTTACACCTGACGAAACTGTTTACAGCCTTCAGAGACAACAATATCTGAACTTTACACCTGACATACTGTTTATTAGAGACAGAAGATCTTGAACTTTACACCTGACGACTGTTTCTAAGGGTAGAAGATCTCGAACTTTACACCTGACAACTGTTTCTAAGGGTAGAAGATCTCGAACTTTACACCTGACAACTGTTTATTAGAGTAGGAGATTATCTAACGTTACACCTGATCTCTCGAACTTTACACCTGACGACTGTTTCTAAGGGTAGAAGATCTCGAACTTTACATCTGACAACTTTACACCTGACGACTGGTTCTAAGAGTAGAAGATCTCGAACTTTACACCTGACAACTGTTTATTAGAGTAGAAGATCTTGAACTTTACACCTGACAACTGTTTCTAAGGGTAGAAGATCTCGAACTTTACACCTGACAACTGTTTATTAGAGTAGAAGATCTCGAACTTTACACCTGACGACTGTTTATTAGAGTAGAAGATCTCGAACTTTACACCTGACGACTGTTTATTAGAGTAGAAGATAACTTTACACCTGACAACTGTTTATTATCTCGAACTTTACACCTGACAACTGTTTATTAGAGTAGAAGATCTCGAACTTTACACCTGACGACTGTTTATTAGAGTAGAAGATCTTGAACTTTACACCTGACGACTGTTTCTAAGGGTAGAAGATCTCGAACTTTACACCTGACAACTGTTTCTAAGGGTAGAAGATCTCGAACTTTACACCTGACGACTGTTTCTAAGGGTAGAAGATCTCGAACTTTACACCTGACAACTGTTTATTAGAGTAGGAGATCTGTTTATTAGAGTAGGAGATTATCTAACTTTACACCTGACAACTGTTTCTAAGGGTAGAAGATCTCGAACTTTACACCTGACGACTGTTTATTAGAGTAGAAGATCTCGAACTTTACACCTGACGACTGTTTATTAGAGTAGGTTTATTAGAGTAGGAGATTATCTAACGTTACACCTGACGACTGTTTATTAGAGTAGAAGATCTCGAACTTTACACCTGACAACTGTTTATTAGAGTAGAAGATCTCGAACTTTACACCTGACGACTGTTTAGAGTAGGAGATTATCTAACGTTACACCTGACGACTGTTTATTAGTTTATTAGAGTAGAAGATCTCGAACTTTACACCTGACGACTGTTTATTAGAGTAGAAGATCTCGAACTTTACACCTGACGACTGTTTATTGTTTATTAGAGTAGAAGATCTCTAACTTTACACCTGACGACTGTTTACGAACTTTACACCTGACTGTTTATTAGAGTAGAAGATTATCTAACTTTACACCTGACGACTGTTTATTAGAGTAGGAGATCTCGAACTTTACACCTGACGACTGTTTATTAGAGTAGAAGATCTCGAACTTTACACCTGACGACTGTTTATTAGAGTAGGAGATTATCTAACGTTACACCTGACGACTGTTTATTAGAGTAGGAGATTATCTAACGTTACACCAGACGACTGTTTATTAGAGTTTCTCTCGAACTTTACACCTGACGACTGTTTATTAGAGTAGGAGATTATCTAACGTTACACCTGACAACTGTTTATTAGAGTAGGAGATGTTTATTAGAGTATCGAACTTTACACCTGACGACTGTTTATTAGAGTAGAAGATCTCGAACTTTACACCTGACGACTGTTTATTAGAGTAGAAGATCTCGAACTTTACACCTGACGACTGTTTATTAGAGTAGAAGATCTCGAACTTTACACCTGACGACTGTTTCCTAGAGTAGAAGATCTCGAACTTTACACCTGACGACTGTTTCTTAGAGTAGGAGATTATCTAACGTTACACCTGACGACTGTTTATTAGAGTAGAAGATCTCGAACTTTACACCTGACGACTGTTTATTAGAGTAGAAGATCTCGAACTTTACACCTGACGACTGTTTATTAGAGTAGGAGATTATCTAACGTTACACCTGACAACTGTTTATTAGAGTAGGAGATTATCTAACGTTACACCTGACAACTGTTTATTAGAGTAGGAGATTATCTAACGTTACACCTGACAACTGTTTATTAGAGTAGGAGATTATCTAACGTTACACCTGACGACTGTTTATTAGAGTAGAAGATCTCGAACTTTACACCTGACGACTGTTTATTAGAGTAGGAGATTATCTAACGTTACACCTGACAACTGTTTCTAAGGGTAGAAGATCTCGAACTTTACACCTGACGACTGTTTCTAAGGGTAGGAGATCTCGAACTTTACACCTGACAACTGTTTATTAGAGTAGGAGATTATCTAACGTTACACCTGACAACTGTTTATTAGAGTAGGAGATTATCTAACGTTACACCTGACAACTGTTTATTAGAGTAGGAGATTATCTAACGTTACACCTGACAACTGTTTCTAAGGGTAGAAGATCTCGAACTTTACACCTGACGACTGTTTCTAAGGGTAGGAGATCTCGAACTTTACACCTGACAACTGTTTATTAGAGTAGGAGATTATCTTATGTTACACCTGACGATTGTTTATTAGAGTAGAAGATTATCTAACGTTACACCTGACGACTGTTTATTAGAGTAGGAGATTATCTAACGTTACACCTGACAACTGTTTATTAGAGTAGAAGATCTCGAACTTTACACCTGACGACTGTTTATTAGAGTAGGAGATTATCTAACGTTACACCTGACAACTGTTTATTAGAGTAGAAGAGATTTACACCTCTGTTTATTAACGTTACAACACCTGACAACTGTTTATTAGAGTAGGAGATTATCTAACGTTACACCTGACGACTGTTTATTAGAGTAGAAGATCTCGAACTTTACACCTGACGACTGTTTATTAGAGTAGGAGATTATCTAACGTTACACCTGACAACTGTTTATTAGAGTAGAAGATCTCGAACTTTACACCTGACGACTGTTTATTAGAGTAGGAGATCTCGAACTTTACACCTGACGACTGTTTATTAGAGTAGAAGATCTCGAACTTTACACCTGACGACTGGTTCTAAGAGTAGAAGATTATCTAACGTTACTAACGTTACACCTGACGACTGTTTATTAGAGTAGAAGATCTCGAACTTTACACCTGACAACTGTTTCTAAGAGTAGAAGATCTCGAACTTTACACCTGACGACTGTTTATTAGAGTAGGAGATCTCGAACTTTACACCTGACGACTGTTTATTAGAGTAGGAGATTATCTAACGTTACACCTGACAACTGTTTATTAGAGTAGGAGATTATCTAATGTTACACCTGACGATTGTTTATTAGAGTAGAAGATTATCTAACGTTACACCTGACGATTGTTTCCTAGAGTAGGACATTCTTTAACTTTACTCCTGTTTCATAGAGGTTGCTATGGTAGCTTCATGTATTGCATGGCATATGAAATATCAATACAAATAGAGTTTAATAGTATTCCTTCACACTGAATAATGTTTATCTTAGTTTCAGTTTTATTCTGTTTTTTTTTTTTTTTTTTTTTTTGAAAATTAGTCTGTTTTTGCTATCTGCGTATTTCCCTTTGTTGCCATTTTTAATATGACTGAAATCACTTGCTTTCCATAATTCAAACTTTTTTTTATATATTAACCTTTGATTTTTCTCCTGTACAAGATTTTAGTGACACCGCCCTCTTCATTGCCAACAGCAGCCGTCAGACTTTCTGACCCTCCGTAAAACACGTCCCTGTGGGGAGTAGAGCGATCCCTGGAGTAATAATCACCAATGCGGCTCCGGAATCCTCTAGCGGAGCCGATGACCATGTCCGTACAGTCCATAGGATGGACAGTACCTAAACATAACATTACAAGAATGTCACATTATATCCAGCACACAATGCAACTAAAACTAAACATAATCAGCAGGTTTTACGTTACTATAAGCAATGAAGAAATAATTTTCTCCAGTATGTGCCATTTTCAAAAATACGTCTGTTTGCATGTGCGCAAGATACAAAAATATAATCAAAATCAGGATTGTTTAACCACAAAATCAAATTGTATGTAGTCTATGAATATTATCTATATTTTACATTGATAAATTCTTTACAAAGTTTTATACTTCTTTTAACTGTAAACTTACTCATTATATTGGCTGTTTATATATATTAACTATTTAACAAGTTCATATTAACAATTAACCATGTTCACCATATAAATCAGTTAGTGTTTATTACTGTTGAACTGTTACAGTTTTCTGTGTGAAATTAACAGTAACATGTTTATTATTTTTCATGAAAGTAATTATAGTAATAAGTATAAACAAGTAACTTTAAGTAACTATACTAGTTATCGTACTTCCGGTTGTGTCAGAAGTGCCACTTGGTCCAGGCGACCCATCACATGATCCCTCTGGTTCCCCTTCTGGTTCCCCAGTTGGTTCCCCTTCTGGTTCCCCTGTTGGCTCTCCCTCAGGCTCTGGTTTCGCTGTGTAGCAGATTAAAAAATATCATATTTTTCACTCGTATATCAACAATATTAAAATAATATGTTATTTTGTAAACTGAATTGTAAGTGTTCTCAACTAACTGAACAAACCTACCTCTACATACAGGTCGTGCTTAGTAGACGATAAACAGCATACAATCTTCATATCATTGGTAGTAGTTAAAACTCTCTTACTGAACAACCTACCTCTACATACAGGTCGTGCTTAGTAGACGATAAACAGCATACAATCTTCATATCATTAGTGGTAGTTAAAACTATAAATGTTTCGTATGAAGTTTGTTTCGGTTAATGAACAGACTGACATGTAATGTTTGACCAGCTTTAATAGTCAAATTTACAAATACCTGTCCTTCTGAATGACAATTTTGTTAATGATTGTTCAGTATACTTGAGTCTCTTTCTTGATGAGAAATGCTTCTATCGCATCTGTCTAACTTTAGGAACATTTAATAATCTACAATAGTCTATTTATTTTATCAACTTATCACTGGAGTCCATTTAAAGTAACAAAATATCACTGGAGTCTATTTATAGTATTAATTTTATCTTAGGAGTCAATTTATAGTATCAACTTATCACTGGAGTCTATTTATAGTATCAACTTATCACTGGAGTCTATTTATAGTATCAACTTATCACTGGAGCCTATTTATAGTATCAACTTATCACTGGATTCTAATTACAGATATTATACAAAGTAACCACTCATCATGTGAATCTATTTAATGTGATAACTTACCACGGAAATCCATTCATAGCTATAACTGATCAATTATTCTATTTTTAGATATACCTTACATCGGGAATACGTTGATCATTTTAAATTACGATGGGTTCTATTTATAGCTTTTACCTAACACATGTTTTGTGTATCCATATAGACCAACAATGGCGTCTATCTTTACTTATATCACGGTTGTGTATTTACAATTATACAATGTAATTTGTCTTTTCGTTGTTGTGTCTTATCACAGAATTCCACCTTTAGTTAAAACTTACCACAGGTATCAATCTTGAAGGCAGACGGAGAAATGTAACGTTCTGTGTGATAGGAAGCTGTATGTGGAACAGTAAACATTCCCCTGGCAAACAGAATGTAGAACTGCGTGGTGTCTGTAAACTGCCAGTCCGTTTTCAGATCATTTGTAGTTCGACTCCTGGCAAAAGTAACGCTTGTCCTTGTTCCAGTTCGAGATGAATCTAAAGTCCTTACATCATCTTGTACCATATCTGCTAAAGGCTGTGCGCGCCCACTGGCCCACCTTTAACATCAAACAGAAGACATTAAAATTGATGAAGATGCTTATTGTCAAAGACTGAAAAAGTAACAGTGAAGGAAGAACTAAAAAATCAAAAATAATTACTGTTCAGATTTCTATACGAGGCCTTCAATGAGGGGTCTGGGGAACTTTCCATTATCGCTATCCGAAAGTCTTATTCATAGATCTACACGGCAATTGTATAAGCAGAATGAAGCGTACAAACCGGTAAATGTATATATAATGTCAATCCTTTATATCCTCTAATGTATCACACAACTGTTAAACTCATTCCTGACAGCAATAGTTAACTTTTCACATATCACATGAATCTGAAGTAAAGTTATCCTGAATTGCACAAAGAAAATACTTGAGAGTACCTGTCAGAGACTGTCATAGTGCTGGGTTCCACCAGGAAAATGTCGCTGGCTGCCTACAGTCAAAAACACTCAATGTTATTGTGTCCAGGTGGAAAATATTTCCAGGTTTGTTTATTACTTGCAGGTTGGTTTAAACTACAACATTTTTAAACAGTTTTCTACATGAAAGATAATATAAATATACTTGAAGTAGCGATATCAACAACACAGCATATCGTACACCTCCTCCGACCCTTACCTTTAAAATTTGGGAAAGAAAACAACATGCTGTCAAGTCATTAGTTTTGGTACAGGACTTTCGTTTAATTCATGGGAAGTCTTAACCCACCAATCTGTTTATCAATAAAATCAGAGAAATGTTGGACATGGATTACAGTAATAAATGAGGGAGGTGTATCCAGTGTAAAAGGAAATGTATGCTTTTCGAAAACCACGAAATTTCAGCTTTTGAGACGATATAACAATATAATGTTGAAAACATTACAACATTATGTTTACTGCAATAATCTTGTTGTCAGATGTCAATACCGGAATTTCCGAGATATAATTTTGATAAACACTAGACCTGTAAGTGGACATACCGCTGACATGCTCACAGACTAATTATAACGTGGATAGTAATGAATTACCATCATCTGATCGGCAGATATTCCAGCAGCAAAATAATATCCCGTCTGAATGTCAGCACTCATAGTGAAGATGATTTCGTCAGTGTCAACATTGAAACGCCAAGAAATGTTTTGTCGGCAGGCATCACAGTTCCATTGACCAGTACAAATGTGTGGCTCCGGAGCTGGAGGTTCAGGTGTTACCTCCGGTTCAGAAGTCGCCCCGGGTTCAGAGGTCACTCCAGGTTCCGAAGTCGCACCAGGTTCAGGGGTTACTTCAGGTTCCGAAGTCGCACCAGGCTCAGGGGTAACTTCAGGTTCAGAAGTCGCCCCGGGTTCAGGGGTCACTCCAGGTTCCGAAGTCGCACCAGGTTCAGGGGTTACTTCAGGTTCCGAAGTCGCACCAGGCTCTGGGGTAACTTCAGGTTCAGAAGTCGCCCCGGGTTCAGGGGTCACTCCAGGCTCAGAAGTTGCACCAGGTTCAGGGGTAACTTCAGGTTCAGAAGTCGCCCCGGGTTCAGGGGTTACTCCAGGTTCAGAAGTCGCCCCGGGTTCAGGGGTCACTCCAGGCTCAGAAGTTGCACCAGGTTCAGAGGTCACCTCAGGCGCAGGCTCAGGGGTTGTTGGTGAAACTTAAAATTTAAATAAGCCACGGTAGATAAGGTGAAAAACAGAATGTATAAATGAATTCGTTTTTTCTTGAAAATTACAAGAGAACAATCTTATTACATCCAGTTCATTGCTTGTCATTATGGTGAAGGCTTCTGGAGGTGATGTTGGTGTCACACTATTATATTGAAAATTGTATAGAAGACACATGTGAGTTTAGCTCATATCAATATGAATTTTAGAATTAAATAAGGCTATTTTGTCTTTACATGAATCATTAGTGATGTACTGAAGAAAACATTTTATCGAAATAAATATAAAAAACCCGACAATAAAGTGCAGACTAACCTCAACATAAAATGCATAATTCCAAATAAGGAATGATTTCACAACAAGGTTGTGTATACTCTTTGTATACCTTAAACTCCGACACTATACCAATGGATTAAAATGTGGTAAGTTACGACAAACTTCGGATGATGGTTAGTTGAATTATTGAATGTATGACTATTTTGACTCAATATATGTGTGATGACATGATAAGTAATGTGACCCTGTATTGTTGTAATTTAACATGGTATGGTTGTTAGAATTGTCGTACCTAGTGCATGCTGCTGTGTTTTAGTTAGGGTTCACTGAGAATCAGTGCCTAGTAAGCATTAATACCCATTCCATGTTCAGCAATTACAACGGAGTAAACAATGGCTCGATGTAACAGCCATTCTGTCGTATTTCTAGTCTGTTTAGGTGATTTTATATGAAATATAGTAGCAAGGGACTTTCCGTGACATCATAATACCCTTCTAGGTGGATATAACAATCTAGCAACCCATATATAGTAACAAGGGACTTTCCGTGACATCATTATACCCTTCTAGGTGGATATAACAATCCAGTAATCCATATATAGTAACAAGGGACTTTCCGTGACATCATAATACCCTTCTAGGTGGATATAACAATCCAGTAACCCATATATAGTAGCAAGGGACTTTCCGTAACATCATAATACCCTTCTAGGTGGATATAACAATCCAGCAACACAAGTTCGTTCTTTATATAGTAACAAAGGACACTATTTTTTTTATTATGATAGAGACTTTGACATAGAATGTTTTATACGTCCTGCTCTCAAAGGAAGTATCTCGGGCGAATAGCCTACATCATCGCATTTACCTAAAGTGGTCGACAATTGTATAAAGTAAACAATGACTCGATATGATAGACACTCCGTCGTATATTTAGTCTGTTCGGGTGGGTGTATAAAATTTGATGACTGTTAAATGTAGAACTTCAACAAACCAAAATATTGCATAAAATAAGAATTAATGATTCTTTGTTTATCATCGATCACTCACCACATCTTCCGATGACAAAGGTCTCTGAGGTGACCACTCTGAAAGAATGGTATTCGTACAGTATCAGACCACTAATATTTCTGAAGTTAGGGCCATTCGCAAACAGCACGTGAAATGTGGCCGTTTCCGATAGTAGAAAATCCTTGTTATCTGAAGTATCTCTCTTTCTATAGAACGTGGCTACTTTATTGCCGCCATTTTGTTCTGCTGTTTTATTCATGACATTAGAGACGGCGTCAACTGAAGGCATCATCGGGTAAACGGCACCCATTGTATTACTGCAAAAGATAAAAACTTTATCATACAATTCCAGCATTAGTCGAAGTTAAACAGACGAGAAATTTCCCCCGAGAGAAATATAGAAGTATGGCAACATTGTATTTATACCCCGAAAGATGGTTTCTATAAAAGTACGACAACATTAAATATATACCCCGAGAGATGGTTTCTATAGAAGTATGACAACATTGTATTTACACCCCGAAAGATTGTTTTTATAAAAGTACGACAACATTAATTATATACACCGAGAGATTGTTTCTATAAAAGTATGACAACATTGTATTTACACCCCGAAAGATTGTTTCTATAAAAGTACGACAACATTAATTATATACACCGAGAGATTGTTTCTATAGAAGTATGACAACATTGTATTTACACTCCGAGAGATGGTTTCTATAAAAGTACGACAACATTAAATATATACCCCGAGAGATGGTTTCTATAGAAGTACGACAACATTAAATATATACCCCGAGAGATGGTTTCTATAGAAGTACGACAACATTAAATATATACCCCGAGAGATGGTTTCTATAGAAGTACGACAACATTAAATATATACCCCGAGAGATTGTTTCTATAAAAGTATGACAACATTGTATTTACACCCCGAGAGATTGTTTCTATAGAAGTATGGCAACATTGTATTTACACCCCGAGAGATTGTTTCTATAGAAGTATGGCAACATTGTATTTACACCCCGAGAGATTGTTTCTATAGAAGTATGACAACATTGTATTTACACTCCGAGAGATGGTTTCTATAAAAGTACGACAACATTAAATATATACCCCGAGAGATGGTTTCTATAGAAGTACGACAACATTAAATATATACCCCGAGAGATGGTTTCTATAGAAGTACGACAACATTAAATATATACCCCGAGAGATGGTTTCTATAAAAGTACGACAACATTAATTATATACCCCGAGAGATTGTTTCTATAGAAGTATGGCAACATTGTATTTACACCCCGAGAGATTGTTTCTATAGAAGTATGGCAACATTGTATTTACACCCCGAAAGATTGTTTCTATAAAAGTACGACAACATTAATTATATACCCCGAGAGATTGTTTCTATAGAAGTATGGCAACATTGTATTTACACCCCGAGAGATTGTTTCTATAGAAGTATGACAACATTGTATTTACACTCCGAGAGATGGTTTCTATAGAAGTACGACAACATTAAATATATACCCCGAGAGATTGTTTCTATAAAAGTACGACAACATTAATTATATACCCCGAGAGATTGTTTCTATAAAAGTATGACAACATTGTATTTACACTCCGAGAGATTGTTTCTATAAAAGTATGACAACATTAAATATATACCCCGAGAGATTGTTTCTATAAAAGTACGACAACATTAATTATATACCCCGAGAGATTGTTTCTATAGAAGTATGACAACATTGTATTTACACCCCGAGAGATGGTTTCTATAGAAGTATGACAACATTGTATTTACACCCCGAGAGATTGTTTCTATAAAAGTATGACAACATTGTATTTACACTCCGAGAGATTGTTTCTATAAAAGTACGACAACATTGTATTTACACTCCGAGAGATTGTTTCTATAAAAGTATGACAACATTAAATATATACCCCGAGAGATTGTTTCTATAAAAGTACGACAACATTAATTATATACCCCGAGAGATTGTTTCTATAAAAGTATGACAACATTGTATTTACACTCCGAGAGATTGTTTCTATAAAAGTATGACAACATTAAATATATACCCCGAGAGATTGTTTCTATAAAAGTACGACAACATTAATTATATACCCCGAGAGATTGTTTCTATAGAAGTATGACAACATTGTATTTACACCCCGAGAGATGGTTTCTATAGAAGTATGACAACATTGTATTTACACCCCGAGAGATGGTTTCTATAGAAGTATGACAACATTGTATTTACACTCCGAGAGATTGTTTCTATAAAAGTATGGCAACATTGTATTTACACCCCGAGAGATGGTTTCTATAAAAGTATGGCAACATTGTATTTACACCCCGAGAGATGGTTTCTATAAAAGTATGGCAACATTGTATTTACACCCCGAGAGATGGTTTCTATAGAAGTATGGCAACATTGTATTTACACTCCGAGAGATTGTTTCTATAAAAGTACGACAACATTAAATATATACCCCGAGAGATGGTTTCTATAGAAGTATGACAACATTGTATTTACACCCCGAGAGATGGTTTCTATAGAAGTATGACAACATTGTATTTACACCCCGAGAGATGGTTTCTATAGAAGTATGACAACATTGTATTTACACCCCGAGAGATGGTTTCTATAGAAGTATGACAACATTGTATTTACACCCCGAGAGATTGTTTCTATAGAAGTATGACAACATTGTATTCGATGTATTTAATTGTGATACCATCCTTACTTACCTGTCTATTAGATAGACCTCTCCATTATCAATGTAAGTCGTATAGATATCGGCGTCAAGCTAAAACAAAGAATGGAAGCTGAAGCAAGAACATAGTTTTGAGGTTTCAGATGGTTGAAAATTTTTCATGACTCCATTCATCTATGTTAAAGAACACTTGAACTTGAGAACATGGCTTTACCATTGAAGTATTTGAAGCAAAACCAACTGCCATCCATTGGTCGTTGGGTACCGATGCAGTGTGTGTAAACTTTACATAATCTGTGCCTGCCATCACTTCCCAGTTCAAGGTGTGATTGCCACTTGCAACGCTGCCACTACAAATATGTGGGGCAGGTGTCCATTCATTTTGTGGTTCCGATGTTCCCTCTGGTTGTGGTTCCGATGTTCCCTCGGGTTGTGGTTCCGATGTTCCCTCGGGTTGTGGTTCTGATGTTCCTTCTGGTTGTGGTTCCGATGTTCCCTCGGGGTGTGGTTCCGATGTTCCCTCGGGTTGTGGTTCCGCTGTCCCCTCGGGGTGTGGTTCCGATGTCCCCTCGGGGTGTGGTTCCGATGTTCCCTCGGGGTGTGGTTCCGATGTTCCCTCGGGTTCTGGTTCACTTGTACCTGACCCAGAAGAGCTGTATCGAAATGGAAAATTCTGACACCCACTTCGGTAACCTGTTAACAACATATCATGAAAAAGGTATTAATCAATATACTTTATTTTTGGATGAAATCTACTCTCTTTTTAAGAAAACGACTTTTTTCTAAGAGTAGAAAGCTGAATGTTTTTTAGAGTAGATAACTCTCTCTCACACCCGAAACAACTGACTACCATGTAATAACATGATATCAGCACAGCTTAAGATACAGCTAAGGGAGATTGACTATTACTTACAGAACCAATATTTCAGTGGGAGGGTAGATAACTAAGGGAAACAACTAGTTCTCAATATCAGGGCAGACAACTCAACATCAGGTGAGGTCACAAACATTTGGGGAGACACTTAACGTCAGGACAGACAACTCAACATCAGGTGAGGTCACAAACATCTGGGGAGACACTTAACGTCAGGGGTCACAACCTAACGTCAGACAATCAGAGGTCAGAGGAGATCACCGCATGTCGGGCAGACAATTTAACGTTAGGGTAGATAATGTCATATCAGGGGACACAACTTGATATCTGGACAGACAACTTAACGTCAGGGTAGACAATGTCATATCAGGGGACACAACTTGATATCTGGACAGACAACTTAACGTCAGGGTAGACAATGTCATGTTAGGGGACACAACTTGATATCTGGGCAGACAATTTAACTTCATGATACACAATGTCATGTCGGGGGGAGCGGGGACACAACTATATATCTTGGCAGACAAGTTAACGTCATGATACACAACGTCATATTAGGGGACACAACTTGATATCTGGGCAGAAAAATCAACATCAGGATACACAATGTCATGTCAGGGGACACAACTAGATATCTGGGCAGAAAAATCAACGTCAGGATATACAATGTCATGTCAGGGGACACAACAAGTATTTGGGCAGACAACTTAACGTCAGGATACACAATGTCATGTCAGGGGACACAACTTGATATCTGGGCAGACAACTTAACGTCAGGATACACAATGTCATGTCAGGGGACACAACTTGATATCTGGGCAGAAAAATCAACGTCAGGATACACAATGTCATGTCAGGGGACACAACTAGATATCTGGGCAGACAACTTAACGTCAGGATACACAATGTCATGTCATGGGACACGACTAGATATCTGGGCAGACAAGGTAACGTATCATATCAGGGGACACAACTTGATATCTGGGCAGAAAAATCAACGTCAGGATACATAATGTCATGTCAGGGGACACAACTAGATATCTGGACAGAAAAATCAACGTCAGGATATACAATGTCATGTCAGGGGACACAACTAGATATCTGGGCAGACAACTTAACGTCAGGATACACAATGTCATGTCAGGGGACACAACTTGATATCTGGGCAGAAAAATCAACGTCAGGGTACATAATGTCATGTTAGGGGACACAACTAGATATCTGGTCAGAACAATTAACGTCAGGATATACAATGTCATGTCAGGGGACACAACTTGATATCTGGGCAGAAAAATCAACGTCAGAATACACAATGTCATGTCAGGGGACACAACTAGATATCTGGTCAGAACAATTAACGTCAGGATATACAATGTCATGTCAGGGGACACAACTAGATATCTGGTCAGAAAAATCAACGTCAGAATACACAATGTCATGTCAGGGGACACAACTAGATATCTGGGCAGACAACTTAACGTCAGGATACACAATGTCATGTCATGGGACACGACTAGATATCTGGGCAGACAAGGTAACGTCAGGATACACAACGTCATATCAGGGGACACAACTTGATATCTGGGCAGAAAAATCAACGTCAGGATACATAATGTCATGTCAGGGGACACAACTAGATATCTGGACAGAAAAATCAACGTCAGGATATACAATGTCATGTCAGGGGACACAACTAGATATCTGGGCAGACAACTTAACGTCAGGATACACAATGTCATGTCAGGGGACACAACTTGATATCTGGGCAGAAAAATCAACGTCAGGGTACATAATGTCATGTTAGGGGACACAACTAGATATCTGGTCAGAACAATTAACGTCAGGATATACAATGTCATGTCAGGGGACACAACTTGATATCTGGGCAGACAACGTAACGTCAGGATACACAATGTCATGTCAGGGGACACAACTTGATATCTGGGCAGAAAAATCAACGTCAGGATACACAATGTCATGTTAGGGGACACAACTAGATATCTGGGCAACAACGTATTGTCAGGATACACAATGTCATGTCAGGGGACACGACTTGATACCAGGGCAGACAACGTAACGTCAGGATATACAATGTCATGTTAGGGGAAACAATTAGATATCTGGGCAACAACGTATTGTCAGGATACACAATGTCATGTCAGGGGACACAACTAGATATCTGGGCAAGAACGTATTGTCAGGATACACAATGTCATGTCAGGGGACACAACTTGATACCAGGGCAGACAACGTAACGTCAGGATATACAATGTCATGTTAGGGGACACAACTAGATATCTGGGCAAAAACGTATTGTCAGGATACACAATGTCATGTCAGGGGACACAACTTGATACCAGGGCAGACAACTTGACGTCAGGATACACAATGTCATGTTAGGGGACACAACTTGATACCAGGGCAGACAACGTAACGTCAGGGTAGACAATGTCATGTCAGGGGACACAACTTGATACCAGGGCAGACAACGTGACGTCAGGGGAGACAACTTGATACCAGGGCAGACAAGTAACGTCAGGATACACAATGTCATGTTAGGGGACACAACTTGATACCAGGGCAGACAACGTAACGTCAGGGTAGACAATGTCATGTCAGGGGACACAACTTGATACCAGGGCAGACAACGTGACGTCAGGGGAGACAACTTGATACCAGGGCAGACAACGTGACGTCAGGATACACAATGTCATGTTAGGGGACACAACTTGATACCAGGGCAGACAACGTAACGTCAGGGTAGACAATGTCATGTCAGGGGACACAACTTGATAACAGGGCAGACAACGTGACGTCAGGGGAGACAACTTGATACCAGGGCAGACAACGTGACGTCAGGGTAGACAACGTAACGTCAGGGGAGACAACTTGATACCAGGGCAGACAACGTGACGTCAGGGGAGACAAAATTATGTTAGTCAATTGTTATGATAGATATTTCATTGTAAAGTTAAAAACTAAGGACAAGGGTATAAAAACACGCTGGGTGAATACCATTCAGTATCATGGTAGACAACTGTCAGGGGAAAGAATTCACGGTCAGGGAAGAAAATTCAATATCCAAGGGATACGAGTCAACATTGGTAATGTAAGTAATTTGGTGAAAGTTTTATTGACGGAATCGAAACTTCAATAGCAGGGTAGAAAACTCACCATCAGGGCGTAGCCCAAGTCCAACCCAAGTGGTTGTTCGGACCTCCAGAAGTACCTCTAATTCTTGTTCAGTCTGGAAAAACATCATACGCACGATTTATACATACATATATAGTAAACTTTATATTATAGAAACATCAGATGAAATTATCAGTCCTAAAACAATCATTTCAACAAATCTAAAAGTATTGAATGTTAAGGACACTTTGCACTGTTACCAGGTATCACTGTTGAAAATCAATTGTTTACAATGTACCTGGCTATTAATAGCATTATATGATATATCAACGTCTTGAAAACAAAATTTGTAATTATGACAGACAACTACAGACAGGGACGTAGATCTACAGTATTTATCACTACAGTGTAACTAAGTACAGACAGGGACGTAGATATATAGTATTTATCACTAGAGTGTAACTAAGTACAAACAGGGACGTAGATCTACAGTATTTATCACTACAGTGTACCTAAGTACAGACAGGGACGTAGATATATAGTATTTATCACTACAGTGTAACTAAGTACAAACAGGGACGTAGATCTACAGTATTTATCACTACAGGGTAACTAAGTACAGACAGGGACGTAGATATATAGTATTTATCACTACAGTGTAACTAAGTACAGACAGGGACGTAGATCTACAGTATTTATCACTACAGTGTAACTAACTACAGACAGAGACGTAGATCTACAGTATTTATCACTACAGTGTAACTAACTACAGACAGGGACGTAGATCTACAGTATTTATCACTACAGGGTAACTAACTACAGACAGGGACGTAGATCTACAGTATTTATCACTACAGTGTAACTAACTACAGACAGGGACGTAGATCTACAGTATTTATCACTACAGTGTAACTAAGTACAAACAGGGACGTAGATCTACAGTATTTATCACTACAGTGTAACTAACTACAGACAGGGACGTAGATCTACAGTATTTATCACTACAGTGTAACTAACTACAGACAGGGACGTAGATCTATAGTATTTATCACTACAGGGTAACTAACTACAGACAGGGACGTAGATATATAGTATTTATCACTACAGTGTAACTTATTCTACACGTTATTCCAAACCGTAAGAAACATGTACACATGTAGATGTTTGAAAAGTGAATCTACTTTCTATTTAAGTATTTTTTTACTTATAGTATAAGATACGTGTTAAAATGATGATAGTCAGAGAAGTTAGTTAAAGAACTTGACTTGAAAATGTTTGATATTGAAAATAGATTATGAAGCAATCATGGTGAAGCTTCTTTCTCTTTCCTTCTCTTTTCATTAATTGAAATGCGTTCGTGTTACAGTACACCATGTGAAAGTCGTCATGAGCTTAGCGACTTGAAGTACACGATATTATTTCGGGATTTAAGCTTGTGGTTCAGACTTACCTCCAGTACTCTGTGGTACATCTGAAACTGGGACGAAAAGTTGGTGTGGACAAACATGGACTTGTCCACCGATGTAGTCCGGACCACAGACTCTGTAATATAGATTCTTGTCAAACCATGTATATATTCGATACCAATGTATTGCTTCTATTCATTTTAAGTATGTCTGATGGCAGTTTCAACACTTATTTTTGTTTAGTTTAACTTAAAATCTTTCACTCATCTACTTTACGCCTGCAATGGTTTTCAGATGATTGACATAGAGACGGCAGCGACCAGTATTTACTATATGGGAGAACAAACGACTTGGGGTATTACACTGACCGTGTTGGCAGTACTGTCCAAACCATCCGGGGTCACAGTAACACTGACGCTTAGGGTATGACGTAGCTTCTACATAGGCACAAAGACCGTGGTTATTACAATCACTGTTATATTCACAATCATCTGTAAAACAAAACAAAGATTTACATGACACAAGAATTATAATAGCAAGTATGTCGGTTTGCTATCATATCCTTCTGCTTAAACTTGTGCTGTTTTACAACAGGTGAAAACAAGCATGGCTTACTTAGAGGCAAAATGTAGACTGTCAGATGGAACATGTCTTAAGCAAGACAATGGATGTGAATTTGTTTGTTTTCAAAACGTTTACATATATGTTATCACTCACGAAATGAGCCAAATAATCAGGGATGTTTTGAATTCACTTTGGAAATTTCTTCATTCTGAATTTAATGAGAGACAGCAAACTATTTCCGTTCGGAGTTGTGTCAATATTTCACAGCAAGGTGTAATTATAAGTGAGGGGTTTCTAATTAAGTCATCCAATGCAATACCTGATGTGCAAAACTAGGTTATGATATCACAATGAACTTAGTAATTCATATCATGACTTACTCATAAATTGACAATGATCTCCATGGTAACGACTGATACACTGACAGGTATATCCGCCCCCAGCGTTATTGATAACCGGCTGTCCATTGCATTTTTCAAACGTCTCCACAGATGAACCTGTTCAAAATGCCGTTATGAAATGGCAATAATTATTTAAGATTCAAATTTCACAAACGGTATGACAATGTGGAACGGGGAGTGGTGATATTCACGTGTTTCTCAAATCTGGGAAGAAATGGGTTAAATATTCTTTTCTGAATAGCTTTCTAGTTTGATAAACAAAAATAAGATCACTTTCACAGTATTTCACAAACAGGTACAAAACAATATTACATTGAAATATGAAATTTTGAAAATATAAAATATATTTTTTTATTTAACACAAGGATCTTTCTTTTAATTTTTCGAACACGTCAATTTTTAGGTACCAAAATAGCAGATACCCACTTGGAATAATATTGATGTCTGCGCATGACCAAAATATGTAATCGCACGTTTGCAGTCGCCATTCCCCTGCTACCCTGGTCAGCTGCAGGGAACAATTGTTACACGCAATGTCGGGTATCGTGACTTCATGTTGAATCGTCCTGGAAATCAATCATTAGTTATACAGTGGTCCCTGGGCGAGAATATTAGCAGGACTCCGCTCTCTAAACTGTAGCTGGGGTAATATTTAACAAATAAATCTTGAATCCGTGCTGCTATACTTTAGAAAATCATTTATCAAGATTTATAAACAAAAAAAAAAACAAAAAAACTCAGCATACATTATTTTCAACAAAAAGATTATCTCACATTTTCGTCTGATACATTGGAGTACTTTTGTAATCCTGGTCACGAAAAAATGAGGACGAATTCCATTTAACAGGGTGTGCCCAGCTTATCGCGATATTTGAGTGAAAAATATTAAAACGTATCATAACTGATAAAAACTGTATTTGAATTCATTAAACTTTTCAGGACTACAAATATTACAGAGTAAAATTTATATATATCTTGTAAGTTTGTGTAAGAAGCTAATAATTCGAGGAAGTCGAATAATTTTCTCTAATGTATGAATTAGTGTCTGGTATACTATGTGGGAATAGCTGTATGTGTATATAAACAAATAAACTCAAAGTAATTAATTAAAAAATTTGAATTTGAACACATCACGACAAGAATCGCTACTTAACAGAAATAACAGAAATAGAAATTTTCAAACGTACGTTGGATCTTGTTGACCGATAAAATTGTTGAAAAAGTTGTACACAACATCGTCATTATGGTCCAGTATGGCCAGGTGGAACCCGCCCTGTAAAACAACATGGCGTCACTATATTAGTGGTCAAACATAAATACATTTATCATTTATTGGGTCGAATGTACACCCGGTTATACAGTGTAGAGCGATGAACCAAACGAGAGATGGACATCATATGTAAACACGGTAATACAGTGTAGAGCGATGGACAACATATGTACACACGGTCATACAGTGTAGAGCGATGGACATCATATGTACACACGGTAATACAGTGTAGAGCGATGGACATCATATGTACACACGGTTATACAGTGTAGAGCGATGGACATCATATGTACACACGGTAATACAGTGTAGAGCGATGAACCAAACGAGAGATGGACATCATATGTACACACGGTAATACAGTGTAGAGTGATGGACCTCATATGTACACACGGTAATAAAGTGTTGAGTGATGGACAACATATGTACACACGGTAATACAGTGTAGAGCGATGAACCAAACGAGAGATGGACATCATATGTACACACGGTAATACAGTGTAGAGCGATGGACATCATATATACACACGGTAATACAGTGTAGAGCGATGGACATCATATGTACACACGGTAATACAGTGTAGAGCGATGGACATCATATGTACACACGGTTATACAGTGTAGAGGGATGGACATCATATGTACACACGGTTATACAGTGTAGAGCGATGGACATCATATGTACACACGGTAATACAGTGTAGAGCGATGGACATCATATGTACACACGGTTATACAGTGTAGAGGGATGGACATCATATGTACACACGGTTATACAGTGTAGAGCGATGGACATCATATGTTAACACGGTAAAACAGTGTAGAGCGATGGACATCATATGTACACACGGTAATACAGTGTAGAGCGATGGACATCATATGTACACACGGTAATACAGTGTAGAGCGATGGACAACATATGTAAACACGGTAATACAGTGTAGAGCGATGGACAACATATGTAAACACGGTAATACAGTGTAGAGCGATGGACATCATATCTACACATGGTTATACAGTGTAGAGCGATGGGCAACATATGTACACACGGTTATACAGTGTAGAGCGATGGACATCATATGTAAACACGGTTATACAGTGTAGAGGGATGGACATCATATGTACACACGGTTATACAGTGTAGAGCGATGGACAACATATGTAAACACGGTAATACAGTGTAGAGCGATGGACGTCATATGTACACACGTAATACAGTGTAGAGCGATGGACGTCATATGTACACACGTAATACAGTGTAGAGCGATGGACAGCATATGTAAACACGGTCATACAGTGTAGAGGGATGGACATCATATGTATACACGTTAATATACTAAAAAAAACGCACAAAGTTCTACCCTGCAGTACACCTTAGCTGTAAAGAAATAATGGAATATTTGGTCAGGTATTGCAACAAGAATGATTTCCCACCTCAACAATCTACCCTAAATCAGCCAAGCGTGACGACTTTATTGTCTGACTTTGTGAGCCCAAAACACGCGGCGTGCTCAAGTCGATTTGTTCAAACGAATAATTTCAACGAATACTCTCACTTCAGCCACATTAACTTTCCACGCTGGCATTTTGATTTCGCCATTGACCGAGATGCCACGCCTAACGTAACTTCAGATTGGTAGGGCAATTGCGTCGAATAGTTTCACCGACGCATGCGTGGTTGAACGCTATAGATTCGGTGGGGCGTCTGTAATGGCTTGGGGAGGCATCTCCCATGGAGTAAAATCCCACTCAGTGGTCCTGGATCCAAACCTCAATGCCGTTCGATACAGAGACCAGATCCTCCAACGACATGTCCTTCCACTTCTCAGACGTTATAACCTAATTTTCCAGCAAGACAATGCTCGACTGCATGTTGCCAGAGTCTGTCGTGATTTTATCACAGCAACGTTCAACCTCTGGAATGATCCCCATATAGCCCCGACATGTCTCCCACTGAGTATCTCTGTGGGATGAACTGGACAGGTGTATTAGGAAACGTCCCCTAACTAACCGCGCCCAGTAAATCGCAGAATTAACACTAACACTAGAATGGAACGACATTTCCTTTTGGCAAATTAATGTTCTCATGAATTCAATGTATAGGAGAATCCTTGCAGGGATTCGTGCAGGGGCTCCCATACCAGGTAGTGAAGCGTTATTATGTTTCTCGCGGGTATCCCACTTTGAGTAATTACTCACAATACCAGTGACGTCACACAGACCGTTCTTCTACAGTATTATAATGAATAAAGTTGTCCCATCACATCGATATAAAATTTTGTACCAATTTTTCAACAATTTTTCAAAAAAAGAAAAAAAAATCGAACTTTTTTCAAACATTCGTGGGTTCACTGTCTTGTTATGCGGTCTGTGTGGTTTCACTGTCTTGTTAGGCGGTCTGTGTGGTTTCACTGTCTTGTTAGGCGGTCTGTGTAGTTTCACTGTCTTGTTAGGCGGTCTGTGTGGTTTCACTGTCTTGTTAGGCGGTCTGTGTGGTTTCACTGTCTTGTTAGGCGGTCTGTGTGGTTTCACTGTCTTGTTAGGCGGTCTGTGTGGTTTCACTGTCTTGTTAGGCGGTCTGTGTGGTTTCAATGTCTTGTTAGGCGGTCTGTGTGGTTTCACTGTCTTGTTAGGCGGTCAGGTGTGGGTTTATTGTCCGGTTTGGCGGTCAGGTGTGGGTTCTTTGTCCGGTTTGGCGGTCAGGTGTGGGTTTATTGTCCGGTTTGGCGGTCAGGTGTGGGTTTATTGTCCGGTTTGGCGGTCAGGTGTGGGTTTATTGTCCGGTTTGGCGGTCAGGTGTGGTCAGGTGTGGGTTCTTTGTCTTGTTAGACGGTCAGGTGTGGGTTCTTAGTCCGGTTTGGCGGTCAGGTGTGGGTTTATTGTCTGGTTTGGCGGTCAGGTGTGGGTTTATTTTCCGGTTTTGCGGTCAGGTGTTGGTTTATTTTCCGGTTTGGCGGTCAAGTGTGGGTTTATTTTCCGGTTTGGCGGTCAGGTGTTGGTTTATTTTCCGGTTTGGCGGTCAAGTGTGGGTTTATTTTCCGGTTTGGCGGTCAGGTGAGGGTTTATTGTCCGGTTTGGCGGTCAGGTGTGGGTTTATTTTCCGGTTTGGCGGTCAAGTGTGGGTTTATTTTCCGGTTTGGCGGTCAGGTGAGGGTTTATTGTCCGGTTTGGCGGTCAGGTGTGGGTTTATTGTCCGGTTAGGCGGTCAGGTGTGGGTTTATTGTCCGGTTAAGCGGTCAGGTGTGGGTTTATTATCCGGTTTTGATCATAGACGTACAACTTATGACTAAATATATGTTTTATACATATAACTTGTGTGAACCCATATGCTACTTTTCATGTGTCAGGAACCAGTTATTTAAATATGTCAGCTGAATCGATTTAAAAGTTGTATTAAACGCACCGTGGATGTGTTTGAGAACCCGGCCTATAATGTATCACCAGTTACAACAGTCATTATTGGCTGAAGCGAAGACTCAGTGAACACATAAGTCGAATATATATTTAAATCCAGGCTCTGATAGAATCTATGCTAGAGTGAGTATGTTCTCATTTGTTGTCAAGTGACAAAAATCGTGACTTTTCCGACGCGGTCCAAGTCCTACTTGGAAATGTTACGAAGCTTGTTTACTGTGTTAACACGCTTCAATAGAATTATCTAAATTACCAAAATAGATATGATGTGAACAATCCCAATATACCGCTTGGAAAGTGGGCGTTTTGGATGGAACAATACCACTATCTACTTGATATACAATGTTAAATCCCATAGTCATGCAAGACAGGAATCGACGAAACTTGCGGGCGATTCAGATTCCTAAATTTATTAAAACTTCACGTTATATTTAGTGCAAATGAAGTCCAAGAATGCATGTTATCATTGGTAGATTTCTGAAATAAAATAAACACTAAGTCCAAATAAATGTTACCATAAGTAGATTTCTGAAAAGAACTTTTAACTTGATCTTTTATCGATAATCAATGGAAATAATGACTTTCTCATATTATAGAACAATTATCTAGGAAATCTTATTAAAATGCTCTATAAGATCGCAAAATGTATTCTTCTAGTATTAAACTCCTGAGAAATAGTCTTCAATAATACCAATATCCAGTGTACGTTAACGCGTAACAGCGGTGACGATTTAGAACATGATTAAGCGAAATCGGACAATACCAGTAAAATAATCTGTAAGTGTAATATGTCCTTAACAAAGACACGCGTATATGGGGACAAGAATAAGGGGATAAAACCTAGGTCAGACTTGTCTATCAAATCAAAACATTACCGTTGTCCATGGTTGTTAAATAAGCATTCACATGAAAGCTAGGAACAATTCACTGACTTCAGTAAATATTTAAGATTGTCTTTCCTAAACACGTAACGAAATTTGATTAAGTAACAATGCTACCAAACCACAGCTGTTGGTCTGATGAACAGATTACAACTAAGACATGTACTGTTTCTGACGTTGTAGAAAGACGATAGTTTTAAAGTGGTAAACACTTTGACTATGTCATTACGTATGAAGAAAGCACAGACAATAAGTACATACATACATAACTAAAGCCAAATGCCCTTAACCGTGAATTGAAACTATTTCAGTTTGTTTAACGAAGAATGCGCACTTGAATCTATTTCAATCTATATGAGCTTAACATGGAAAGAAGGAAAAGATATATTTCAGCAAATACACGCAATGTTGACGCGCTAGCGTAGACTAGACAGAAAAATAAGTTATTTCAGAGGTAATATTACTGTAGTGAATTGACCTTTGAAGATAATTGGAAAATAATATCCTTGTACATGCTTTCGTTCGGGGTAAAAAGGCGTTCCTTTCTGTCTGTGTATTAAACATGAGCCAAAAGATATAGAGGACTCCCCCCTCTCTATCAAGGACCCACCGCGCCAACTCTCTATCAAGGACCCACCGCGCCACCTCTGTATAGAGTACCCCCGCGCCACCTCTCTATCAAGGACCCACCGCGCCACCTCTGTATAGAGTACCCCCGCGCCACCTCTCTATCAAGGACCTACCACGCCAACTCTCTATCAAGGACCCACCGCGCCACATCTGTATAGAGTACCCCCGCGCCACCTCTCTATCAAGGACCCACCGCGCCACCTTTCTATCAAGGACCCCCCGCACCACCTCTGTATAGAGTACCCCCGCACCACCTATGTATAGAGTATCCCCGCACCACCTCTCAATCAAGGACCCCCCGCGCCACCTCTGTATAGAGTACCCCCCGCGCCACCTCTGTATAGAGTACCCCCGCACCACCTATGTATAGAGTATCCCCGCACCACCTATCTATCAAGGACCCCCCTCCCCTCCGGCGTCACCTCTCTATCAAGGACCCACCGCGCCACCTCCCTATCAAGGACCTACCGCGCCACCTCTCTATTAAGGACCCCCTCCCCCATAGCAACCTCTCTATCAAAGACCCACCGCGCCACCTCTGTATAGAGTACCCCCGCACCACCTATGTATAAAAGACACCCCGCGCCACCTCTCTATCAAGGACCCCCCCCCCCCCGCGCCACCTCTCTATTAAGGACCCCCCTCCCCGCGCCACCTCTCTATCAAGGACCCACCGCGCCACCTCTGTATAGAGTACCCCCGCACCATCTATGTATAAAAGACCCCCCGCGCCACCCCTCCATAGAGGACAATCCGCGCCACCTCTCTATAAAGGACCCACCGCGCCATCTCTCTATCAAGGACCCACCACGCCACCTCTCTATTAAGGACCCCCCGCGTTACCTCTCTATCAAAGACCCCCACCCCCCGCGCCACCTCTCTATCAAGGAACCACCCACCACCACCCGCCACCTCTCTATAGAGGACACCCCACGCCATCTCTCTCCTCTCAATACTTTATTTGATCGGTATTAAGAAGGAATTACATGTACAATATATAAAATAACCGACCGCTGCTCTCGCTTGAATAGGCAGAAGTCACCGCAGTGTGTCATAATATAGAACAACGACTCATCAATGGTAAATGGACCGCCATTATACTATTTTAAATGGCGGATATACGAAACCGTGCAATAGTACTACACAACACAGGAATCGCGACCCTAACTATTTTACCAAGTAATGGGTGAAGACGGCAGTATGTTGAACATATAGCCGAAATCAAAATGCAATTCAGCACGTGACAATTTTGTCATCAGTTCTGTTCTATTTTTCATCAGTATAGTCGGCATGGAAACGGCAATGCTGCGCCGTCAAAATGGCCTTTATGATAAAATCGACAAATCACAGTAACACGGGTGGGCAATATAAATATTGACACAAGATAGTAATGGTATTAAAAGTCGTTATAAACGCACTTTAAGTGTACAGTCAGGTTTATGTATGTTAGAGTATAAACACAACAGAGGACGTACAGTCAGGTTTATGTATGTAAGAGTATAAACACAACAGAGGACGTACAGTCAGGTTTATGTATGTTAGAGTATAAAGACAACAAAGGACGTACAGTCAGGTTTATGTATGTTAGAGTTTAAACACAACAGAGGACGTACAGTCAGGTTTATGTATGTTAGAGTATAAAGACAACAGAGGACGTACAGTCAGGTTTATGTATGTTAGAGTTTAAACACAACAGAGGACGTACAGTCAGGTTTATGTATGTTAGAGTCTAAAGACAACAGAGGACGTACAGTCAGGTTTATGTATGTTAGAGTTTAAACACAACAGAGGACGTACAGTCAGGTTTATATATGTTAGAGTATAAAGACAACAGAGGACGTACAGTCAGGTTTATGTATGTTAGAGTTTAAACACAACAGAGGACGTACATTCTGGTTTATATATGTTAGAGTATAAAGACAACAGAGGACGTACAGTCAGGTTTATGTATGTTAGAGTTTAAACACAACAGAAGAGCTACAGTCAGGTTTATTTCTGTTGATTTTCTGTCTGAAGGTATATTTCGACGGTATATAGCTTTCGTGATCACCAAACTACAATATGAATATTTCATTAAGATGAGCAATGCCCTTGGATTTTGAAGTTTTTTGTAGTGACTACAGAACCTTGGATTTTGAAGATGCGGGTTGATGAGTAACGCTAACTGGGTGATTTTTTTGTCAGCATCTACTTAAAATAACACGGTTTATTAAAACCACACGAGTACGCGTGACTAAATCCGCATGAATTTGAATGGATGAGTGGGTGTAACGGAGTGGTCTATATAACTTTGTTGACGTCGTGACGAGAAGAGTTAATGCCAAACAAAAAACCAAAATCTCCTTTCAACTGTTCTTGTAGGCAATCCTGTTTTCTGCATCCATCCTAGATTGAATACATCAGTTGGTCTTCCACTCGTCAGAGGCTGTTTTAATTTACCTATATCCGAGTTTTCGCTCGATTAAGCAGAATTTGGTTATTAAAGGGTTTTACAGTGAAACGTAAGAAGCACCTGTATATACTTCAAATAAGGCCACACAAAAGTAATAAGGACCATCTTAGAATACCGAGGATAGATAATGACTCCGTAAGGCATGTCTAAAGCTACCACAGTATCACATACAATGTAGCTCTATACTTGTATGTAACGGTAATACCAGGAGACATAGTTCTATACTTGTATGTAACGGTAATACTAGGAGACATAGTTCTATACTTGTATGTAACGGTAATACTAGGAGATATAATCCAATACTTGTATGTAACGATAATACTAGGAGACATAGTTCTATACTTGTATGTAACGGTAATACTAGGAGATTTAGGCCAATACTTGTATGTAACGGTAATACTAGGAGATCTAGGCCAATACTTGTATGTAACGGTAATACTAGGAGATATAATCCTATATTTGTATGCAACGGTAATACTAGGAGATATAATCCTATATTTGTATGTAACGGTAATACTAGGAGATTTAGGCAAATATTTGTATGTAACGGTAATACTAGGAGATCTAGGCCAATACTTGTATGTAACGGTAATACTAGGAGATATAATCCTATATTTGTATGCAACGGTAATACTAGGAGATATAATCCTATATTTGTATGTAACGGTAATACTAGGAGACATAGTTCTATACTTGTATGCAACGGTAATACTAGGAGATATAATCCTATATTTGTATGTAACGGTAATACTAGGAGACATAGTTCTATACTTGTATGCAACGGTAATACTAGGAGATATAATCCTATATTTGTATGTAACGGTAATACTAGGAGATTTAGGCAAATATTTGTATGTAACGGTAATACTAGGAGATCTAGGCCAATACTTGTATGTAACGGTAATACTAGGAGACATAGTTCTATACTAGTATGCAACGGTAATACTAGGAGATATAATCCTATATTTGTATGTAACGGTAATACTAGGAGACATAGTTCTATACTTGTATGCAACGGTAATACTAGGAGATATAATCCTATATTTGTATGTAACGGTAATACTAGGAGATTTAGGCCAATACTTGTATGTAACGGTAATACTAGGAGACATAGTTCTATACTTGTATGTAACGGTAATACTAGGAGATATAGGCCAATACTAGTATGCAACGGTAATACTAGGAGATATAGGCCAATACTAGTATGCAACGGTAATACTAGGAGATTAAGGCCAATACTTGTATGTAACGGTAATACTAGGAGACATAGTTCTATACTTGTATGTAACGATAATACTAGGAGATATAATCCTATATTTGTATGTAACGGTAATACTAGGAGATTTAGGCCAATACTTGTATGTAACGGTAATACTAGGAGATTTAGGCCAATACTTGTATGTAACGGTAATACTAGGAGATTTAGGCCAATACTTGTATGTAATGGTAATACTAGGAGACATAGTTCTATACTTGTATGTAACGGTAATACTAGGAGACATAGTTCTATACTTGTATGTAACGGTAATACTAGGAGATTTAGGCCAATACTTGTATGTAACGGTAATACTAGGAGACATAGTTCTATACTTGTATGTAACGATAATACTAGGAGATTTAGGCCAATACTTGTATGTAACGGTAATACTAGGAGACATAGTTCTATACTTGTATGTAACGGTAATACTAGGAGATTTAGGCCAATACTTGTATGTAACGGTAATACTAGGAGACATAGTTCTATACTTGTATGTAACGATAATACTAGGAGATATAATCCTATATTTGTATGTAACGGTAATACTAGGAGATTTAGGCCAATACTTGTATGTAACGGTAATACTAGGAGATTTAGGCCAATACTTGTATGTAACGATAATACTAGGAGACATAGTTCTATACTTGTATGTAACGGTAATACTAGGAGATCTAGGCCAATACTTGTATGTAACGGTAATACTCGGAAGAAGGTCCACTATCGGGTCATATAGGTTATATACTTATATATATATCACAGTAGATACCATGGACTGTTTTCGTCTATTGGGCAGTGGATTGGTCTAGTCGTCCGGTAACGTGCGAATGGCTTTGTGTACCGATACATAGACTTGAGGACGGATAAAAGCTAACACAGTAGTAGTGAACGTAACAGATATCAGAGAACAATAAATAATTCGTTTGTCAATCAGACAGACAAGTACGCCTTACGGGGTCTTTTTACATTCCTGTCCAGCTTAATTGTCGAATTAGTGGACAATCATGGACATCGCCAGGGGTTATAATGTGTACCGTGCTGGTCAAGTTATCACAACTTGGTGTCACTGTTGATGAGCTTATCAAATTGTGATTATCGAACGCGTGGCTAGGCCCTATGCTAAACTCAGAGATGTGACCGTTGTTTTGAAATCTCAATTTAAAAAAAAATCCTGTGTAGACCTGCGAGAAGACCTTAACAGACCGTGATCAGTCCAAACGTATTAAGAATATATTCTTTGTAAAAACCTACAACAATCAACACGAACAACAAATAAGGAAACTTACTTGATGAGGATAAGCCAGATGCCACGTGACATTGATTTTCGAGCCAGCCTTGAAAGTAGTTAAGGGGCCCAAACCTGCAACAAATATAGTATAACAATGGCTTAATATATCATAGTAACAGTATAACAATGGCTTAATGTATCATAGTAACAGTATAACAATGTCTTAATGTATCATAGTAACAGTATAACAATGTCTTAATGCATCATAGTATAACAATGTCTTAATGTATCATAGTAACAGTATAACAATGGCTTAATGTATCATAGTAACAGTATAACAATGTCTTACTGTATCATATTAACAGTATAACAATGTCTCAATGTATCATAGTAACAGTATAACAATGTCTCAATGTATCATAGTAACAGTATAACAATGTCTTACTGTATCATAGTAACAGTATAACAATGTCTTAATGTATCATAGTAACAGTATAACAATGTCTTAATGTGTGATATTAACTAATTAAGGGTGGTATAGTGTACGATAAAATGTCGGACATTAACAGTTTCAGGTCATCCTGTCAAACGATGACAGTAAAATAAGGATTTTTTCATCTATCAAAATAATAGTCATAATAATAACAGAAAGAAAATCTGTCATTCTTCCTCGATCGAAAAGTGAGTAACAAAAGACTATATACACTCATACATATATCTTTATGTAATTAGCAATTACAATTAGGCCATATATAGCTGTTTTTAATGATAAATGTCAGGTTTGCATTAGTGCCTCATTCTAAACATTTGTGCTATCTGTGACGTGTGTGATATTTAACAGCATGCTTTTCATCACCTGTCACGCGGAAATTTTTTCAAGTATTTATCTAGGAATAAGGACAAGCAAAAACCTGTTTTATAAATTATTCGTGGATTGCTCTACTGATGATGAGCGTCCAGATAAATATGGCGTCATTGACAATAAATACCAACAGTACAGTATGATTGACAGCCGATCTATAACAGTACATGTTTCATGTAGTGCTACAGGAAATGCCACTCTTCTCTATCTGTCCTTGCTGCTATAAGTATGTAAATAATCTAAACTGAAGTTTATTGGTTTATTTTTGAAGTTATGTCAAAATCTCCCTTGGTAGGTTTACACTTGTGAATGCTAAAAGGTCTATCTTTTTTCTGTGCCAATCTCACCGGCTGATCATCGACAGAAATACCCCTGTTAAACCAGTTTTATCAAAAAGATACATCACACTGCCATTATCGTGTTCTGTACTCGGCAGTGAATGCCTGACACGACGCCAACAGGGATATGTCGGGTAGGTTGCTCTTCAATACTGGTAGATTTAAACAAACAGGCAATAATACCTTTTATGATGTTCATCAACCGCTGGTTGTGCGATTATCTGTGTTGTAACAAGAGATAACAAAGCTACAAGGATGGTACTTTTAATGTCACATAAAGAGTGAGTTACCAAGGCAACAAAATACGGGTCTGCATCCTGGGTAATATACATATATCCTTATTTCATCGTGTCAATTTCGTGTCAGTAGAAAAAAACAATAAAGAATATACATGTCGTCGGCGGCGTCAGTTAAAGGAAATGAAAAAAGGAGTTCAAACTTTACACGAAATGCTATTTCTTCTTCATAGTCATTGTACCCTTGACATATCTGTAATACGGAACAACTCTCAATAACACTGTTTCGTGAGAGGTTCATACTCCCTATCTAGGATTGTCTGTGTTTCGCGGGGAGCTGGGAAACTGATCGGTTTATTCTGTCTTGGTTGTGCCCTTGGACGTGAAAATTGACCCTTACTGATGTGGTTGGTTGTGTCCTTGGACGTGAAAATTGACCCTAACTGATGTGGATGGTTGTGCCCTTGGACGTGAAAATTGACCCTTACTGATGTGGTTGGTTGTGCCCTTGGACGTGAAAATTCACCCTAACTGATGTGGTTGGTTGTGTCCTTGGACGTGAAAATTGACCCTTTCTGATGTGGTTGGTTGTGTCCTTGGACGTGAAAATTCACCCTAATTGAAGTGGATGGCATGTGGCAGGTCTTCCGTATGTTGTTCAATGAGGTAGCCACCAGCTACAAAAAGGAGCCATCTCCTCAAAATGACCCTGGCTTATCACAAGGCGATTAAACCAAAACACAAACAATAATATGACGTGTTTGAAGAACTAATAATGAGACAAAGTACTGTTTAAAGTCGATATTATAGAAAACATGTCTTGGTTGGATTATTTTTAGACAATAATGTTTTGAACTGTAGCATTTTGTCGTCTTGATATCAAACCATTTATTCGGAATTTTTAGTAAAGTTTGATGTTAAGACCGGACAGGAAACTTGTTAATGTATGTGAGTCGGGCGGGGGAGGGAGGGGTCATAAAATGGAAGAGCGGCAGGTTGTGCATTCAAGCACAAGCCGCGGGGGAGGGGATTCATCAAAAGGAAGAGCGGCAGGTTGTGCAATTCAAGCACAAGCCGCGGAGGAGGGGGTTCATCAAAAGGAAGAGCGACAGGTTGTGCATTCAAGCACAAGCCGCGGGGGAGGGGGTTCATCAAAAGGAAGAGCGGCAGGTTGTGCATTCAAGCACAAGCCGTGGGGGAGGGGGTTCATCAAAAGGAAGAGTGGCAGGTTGTGCATTCAAGCGCAAGCCGTGGGGGAGGGGGTTCATCAAAAGGAAGAGCGGCAGGTTGTGCAATCAAGCACAAGCCCATTGACAACCATGGAGGGTCGAGAATGGCCCAAACACTTTACAGAATAAAGATCATGCATTGCAATAATGTATATAACTGTCACGGTGTCTAAATTTTTAAAAAAAGTTGAAATTTCAGATTGAAAGGTTGAGATTTTGTAAACCCATTGAAGGAAGACAATTTCTAGTCACAACACCAACTCATGGTAATAGTACATATTACAGTAACTTAAATGCAAATACGCAGGCAACAGACGACAGAAACATTTAATCACCAAAAAATGAAACGAAGTCATGTGAAACTGCTTGACGAATAATATCTGATAATACAGAAATGAAAAATCATCAGGTATACATTTTGAATAAACACATCGTAAAATCATTAATGGCAGTCATGACGGAAAGTGCTAATTTTATCACGATCGTGTTTGTACTTTACGACAGGAGGGAGTCACTTAGCATATTGCTAAAGGAATGAACGAAAACAAATCAACCGTGGTTTACAAAAAGGGAATTACTTTGTGCTCATTCAACCGTTCTACGCCATCAAATCTATGGAAGTATGATGACGTCACACAATCTTACCAGTCATGTTTTTGGCACTTGGGCGGGGTCGATGGCACAAAAAAGGACAGGAGAGGCTGGTGGTATCCGGGGGAGCAGGGGAGGGGAAGGAAGGTAGAGATGGGTTTTCAATATTGAGTGGTGGATATTCTGAGTTATGTATATATGTCAGGACAGAAGGACATCGGACGGGAGAAGGTCACCGCAGGCAGAAGTCTTCGAGTTTAATATGGTATTCCGCATTCATCAAGTAACACAAAGTTATCTTGATTGTAATATAAACTTACTTAAACACAGTTTCAGTGTCAACTGCTTGTAGGCACTACGAACTACGAATATATTAACCTAAACTTTGTTTATATAACAAGAGGTCTATTGGCTTATACGGTCATCTAAATATTCACAACCCAAATTATATACCATGTAACAGGTATTATATAATACGTAACATAAATTATATACTATGTAACAGGTATCATATAATATGTAACATAAATTATATACTATGTAACAGGTATTATATATAATACGTAACATAAATTATATACTATGTAACAGGTATTATATAATATGTAACATAAATTATATACTATGTAACAGGTATTATATATAATACGTAACATAAATTATATACTATGTAACAGGTATTATATAATATGTAACAAAAATCATATACTATGTAACAGGTTATATATAATACGTAACATAAATTATATACTATGTAACATGTATTATATAATACGTAACATAAATTATATACTATGTAACAGGTATTATATAATATGTAACATAAATTATATGATATGTAACATAAATTATATACTATGTAACATGTATTATATAATACGTAACATAAATTATATACTATGTAACAGGTATTATATATTATGTAACATAAATTATATAATATGTAACATAAATTATATACTATGTAACAGGTATTATATAATATGTAACATAAATTATATAATATGTAACAGGTATTATATAATATGTAACATAGATTATATACTATATAACAGGTATTATATGCCATTTAGCATAAATTATATATCATATGTAACATGTATTATAGTATATATACTATTTAATATATATATGCTATGTGGAACATGTATCATATCAGATACAATCTAATTTATATATATTATATAACATGTAATATGTTAAATACTATATATTTTTTATATTTAATAATACGTAACATATATACTATATAACATGTTTTATACATTTGAATTTTGTTTAAAGTCTCCTCACACACGCCCTGTGTTTAGTTACCCTGAGATCACACCACTATGTGACACATTGTCATTATCGAAAACTACACCTTGTTTCACCTTTCTGTGCTTCACGATTTAACCTCAATATTCACTCAGCCATTCACAGAGGTCAAAGTGCTGTAAACGTTAACAAAACCTGTTGGGAATCGGTTGGTGTAGTTTTAGACATAACTTGATAAAGAAAGAGCGTAAAGAACATTTCAACATCAGCCCGGGGGGTAAAGGGGTTGGGACTAACAACCCCCTATTTTAGCATCAGCCCGGGGGGTAAAGGGGTTGGGACTAACAACCCCCTATTTTAGCATCAGCCCGGGGGGTAAAGGGGTTGGGACTAACAGCCCCCCCTATTTTAGCATCAGCCCGGGGGGTAAAGGGGTTGGGACTAACAGCCCCCCCCCCTATTTTAGCATCAGCCCGGGGGGTAAAGGGGTTGGGACTAACAGCCCCCCCTATTTTAGCATCAGCCCGGGGGTAAAGGGGTTGGGACTAACAGCCCCCTCCCTATTTCAGCATCAGCCCGGGGGTAAAGGGGTTGGGACTAACAGCCCCCCCTATTTTAGCATCAGCCCGGGGGGTAAAGGGGTTGGGACTAACAGCCCCCCCCCAATTTTAGCATCAGCCCGGGAGTAAAGGGGTTGGGACTAACAGCCCCCCCCCCCCTATTTAAGCATCAGCCCGGGGGTAAAGGGGTTGGGACTAACAGCCCCCCCCCCTATTTTAGCATCAGCCCGGGGGGTAAAGGGGTTGGGACTAACAGCCCCCCCCCTATTTTAGCATCAGCCCGGGGGTAAAGGGGTTGGGACTAATGCCCCCCTATTTTAGCATCAGCCCGGGGGTAAAGGGGTTGGGACTAACAGCCCCCTCCCTATTTCAGCATCAGCCCGGGGGTAAAGGGGTTGGGACTAACAGCCCCCCCTATTTTAGCATCAGCCCGGGGGGTAAAGGGGTTGGGACTAACAGCCCCCCCCCCCTATTTTAGCATCAGCCCGGGGGGTAAAGGGGTTGGGACTAACAGCCCCCCCCCCTATTTAAGCATCAGCCCGGGGGTAAAGGGGTTGGGACTAACAGCCCCCCCCCCTATTTTAGCATCAGCCCGGGGGGTAAAGGGGTTGGGACTAACAGCCCCCCCTATTTTAGCATCAGCCCGGGGGTAAAGGGGTTGGGACTAATGCCCCCCCCCCTATTTTAGCATCAGCCCGGGGGTAAAGGGGTTGGGACTAACAGCCCCCTCCCTATTTCAGCATCAGCCCGGGGTTTAAGGGGGTGGGACTAACAGCCCCCCCCCCTATTTAAGCATCAGCCCGGGGGTAAAGGGATTGGGGTAACAGGGTCCCCCTCTATTTCAGCATTAGCCCCTATCTGACCATGAAGTTTCAACGAAGATTAACAATGTTACTTGGACCAGGTAGTAGGTGAGGGGTTCGTTATGGTATGGACTGGAGATACTAGGTGAGGGGTTCGTTATGGTATGGACTGGACATACTAGGTGAGGGGTTCGTTATGGTATGGACTGGAGATACTAGGTGAGGGGTTCGTTATGGTATGGACAGACATACTAGGTGAGGGGTTCGTAATGGTATGGACTGACATACTAGGTGAGGGGTTCGTAATGGTATGGACTGACATACTAGGTGAGGGGTACGGAATGGTATGGACTGACATACTAGGTGAGGGGTTCGTTATGGTATGGACAGACATACTAGGTGAGGGGTTCGTAATGGTATGGACTGACATACTAGGTGAGGGGTACGGAATGGTATGGACTGACATACTAGGTGAGGGGTTCGTTATGGTATGGAGAGACATACTAGGTGAGGGGTTCGTAATGGTATGGACTGACATACTAGGTGAGGGGTACGTTATGGTATGGACTGACATACTAGGTGAGGGGTACGGAATGGTATGGACTGACATACTAGGTGAGGGGTTCGTTATGGTATGGACTGGAGATACTAGGTGAGGGGTTAGTTATGGTATGGACAGAAGATTGTAAGTGAGAGGTTCAATCCACTGACTTTCGTCGTATTTAATATTGCTTAGATAAATTATAGCGCTGACATCAACACAAACTCTATAGAATTCTAACGCTGACATCAACACAAACTCTATAGAATTCTACGTGAAGATTATTTGATTTCCTATTTATTATGGGAGGCGTATATTAGATGCTGCAGTGTTATTACCTCGGAGGAGTGACATGATATTTACGGCTATACTGTCAATGTGAGCTATCAATTCGAGAGGAGTATTTTATATGCCTGAGAGACAACCTTCATCAGTTTCATGTCATTATCTGGATATTTTAATCCCCACTTAAGTCTGCATGCGTACGCATGTGATATGAAAGTCATTTTCTTTGTAACATAGAATTGATCCAGTGAGCAATACAATATCAAAGTTAGTTACTGACGAACAGTAAATGAACCGTCTGTTGTAGAGGCTGAAAAGATTGGGAGCTTGTAAGCACCAGAAAATCAGTGGGACATTTGTAGTTTAAATCTTGTTTTAACATTTCTACCTTAAATCTCGAGGTAACATTTCTACCTTGAATCATGTGGCAACATTTCTACCTTGAATCATGTTGCAACATTTCTGCCTTGAATCATGTGGCAACATTTCTGTCTTGAATCATGTAGCAACATCTCTGCCTTGAATCATGTGGCAACATTTCTGTCTTGAATCATGTGGCAACATTTCCATCCCCGCTCCTTTTTCAAATTACAACCCTTTTTACGTACAATGTGAACAGTTCAATAGAGCATGGTTAAAATACATTACTGTGACAGTGATAGATAAAGTACATATAACACAGTAAATCTTTATGTACGTTTTCCCCTAAAGTGTAATTGAAGAAAACGCAGTTTGTAATAAGTTTACCGTCGATGTCTTTGTGAATACAGTGTATCTAAAATTGGTTATTTATTTGTAACTAACATCAGTCGTCTTACTCACTAATCGACATAACGATAACAACAAACATATACTGTACATGTCCTTACTTTTAACGAGTTTCTTCTTTTCGAGATTTTTGTTGACGGAATAATAATCTAGGAATTTCTGGAGATAGATTTTGGTTTCCAAATTCTATTCGACTGCTTCTAGCATGCTTACTATAATGTGAATGTGTTTTATGTAACAATGAAATAAAGTGTGCAAATCTCCGAAAATTAAATTAGTTACATTGAAAATTGAATTATTAATTAATTAATTATTAAACGGAATGTTCGATGTTCTATCATTAGATAAATAAATCAATAACGCTTGCCTTTCGAAACGCATCTTTACATTCGCGTGGCCTGATTGAGATACATGAGTCGTTACGTAATGTCGCCAACGGAAAGACTCGTCGTCGGGTCATTACATACCATCTATTGACAGGTTACAAGAGTGGACATGATGGACACTGAGGTTTATACAGACAACAGACATGTGTAGGACTGTGATCTTTTAAGACAAGATTTGATTTTCAAACAATTTTCTCATGTCTTCGTGACGTACAATCCTTTAAAGGAATTAATGTCATTTCTGTTTTCTTTTTCATTGTGTGAAAGCAAATTTCTGTTCTCATCAGTGATATTTAGGTCGTCGGTCTCCGTTGAGGTAATTACACATTGTAGATATCTCGGCACAGATAACGACATTATCCCAGAGTAACTTTAAAACGTGAAACAAAATATAGAAATAAAAAAAAAATCATTTTAGATACTTTATCGATTTTTCCCAAACGTGGAACTCTATTTAAGAAAAGACATATATGTCATTATGATAACATCACCTGATTTCTGTCAAGGCGATCTCGGCATGTAATGAAGATATCACGAAACCTCAATATCTCGATATTCTATCAGGTAAAAATACCCGTGATTTGAATCGAAAAACGGAAAGTGGTAAAAGTAGGGTAGGGAATCGGGTAATTAAGAAATGGAGAGAGGGAGAGACTGAGAAAGTGAAGATCTAGAATCGGGAAAAGTGAGAGATTGGGAAAAGTCGTAGATTGGGAATATCTTAATTATACCCAGAAATGAGAGATGATGGCTGCAGCACGGAGTCAGGGTGGGGCGTTGAGGGGTAGGCTGAAGGGACCACACTTTGTTGTATTTAAATATCTATAGACTCTTTACGTTAATTAATACACACTATATATGTCACAAATGTAGTTAAACTGTACATAGAGAAACTTCAGTAACTTAGTCAAACGTCAACTACCAGTGGTTCTATATATATCTTCTTTGTTTCAAATTGTGTATGTGCGAGGGTTCTAGATTTACAATTACAAGTAAACAAGCCTCATGTATTTGTGACAATAGGAAAATACTTATCTATAAGCAACAGAACACTGACATTTATCTTTACCGATCCATCAAAACAAAGCATTCATATCGAATGACAACAGTACATCATAATGGTAGGAATCATGTCAACAAACCTTTGGGCATTCCACAGGGTCCCGGCGTCCGGAGATTATCCAGGAAATCAAGGGCATATCTCCTAGCAGGAGGAAATGTTAAGGATACGTGACAGTTTCCCGTGTGGAAAAGCAGCGTCTGTAGTAGAAACGCCACAAGTACAGCGAAACCTGCCATTCTGCGAGCAGGCCTTCTCAACACTTCGTACACAAGTACAATGGCGAATTAAATTTTATCCAACCCAGTCCACAGGTATGATCAATGAAATGTGTTGTCAGTTGTTGCAGGTACGAAGATATACCATATATAGTTTGTAACTGCCAAAATGTTTCTCAACTACATCAGATGAGGAGTAGCAGCCATACAGGTGCGCCGTACACCTCTCTCTCGGGGACAGGTAAACACCGTGTTTGATGTATATATATATATACCTGGAGATTCGCAGAGCGCAATCGATTCTACACAAAGTCGCCGAAGCGTGGAATACGACTGATATGTAACGAATGAACCGATTGGGTCACTAAAAAGTATATGGATATACGTAGATATACCCAATGATACTAACGAGGTCATGAACCTCGTTACAGACTGTTCACCCTTGGGTATGCGGGTATGCTACCTGTTTGGGTTATCTTGGGTATGCGGGTATGCTACCTGTTTGGGTTATCTTGGGTATGCGGGTATGCTACCTGTTTGGGTTATCTTGGGTATGCGGGTATGCTACCTGTTTGGGTTATCTTGGGTATGCGGGTATGCTAACTGTTTGGGTTATCTCGGGTATGCGGGTATGCTTTGTTGGTTTTCCCTGGGTACTCCGGCTTCTTCCACACTAAACCCCCTCACGCGCCTTACATCCATGCCAACACGAGCGATTAGTGTAAATCGCAATTGTATACAATGTACATAGTGGGTTACAGAAAAAACTAATATAGTAGTATTTTAAAATGCTGGAACTCTGAAAAACAATGAGAGATGGACCTAAGATAACCAGCAGCTCCGAGTCGTCGATGAATTTAAATATTTAGGTATTCTTCTGAAATATAACGGTAAATTCGCAAATACTCAGAAACATATAGCAGAACAATGTAGAAAAGCATTGTATTCATTAATGTCCTCATTACGAGATTACTCTTTAAATCCAGAAACGTTATCTTCTGTTTTTGATACATATATTAGTAGTATTCTTTGTTACGGAGCAGAAATATGGGGTTTCCATAAGGCTTATGATATAGAAAAAGTACATTTGACATTCTGTAAGAAAATTCTAGGAGTAAGAAAAAGTACAAACAATGATTTAGTTTATAATGAACTAGGGAGATTACCTTTATTAGTAACTAGAAAATTAAGAATTTTTAAATATTGCTTGAAAATAAAGAGTTCCGATAATTGCAACTTGAAAGCATGTTATGACGAATGTGTGAGTGAAAATGATGTATGAATGAGTAATATAAAACAAGAGTTGTCAATATTAGATCTTGAGTATTTATTTGAAAATGATCTTCCTGCTAGTGCTGCGTATAATAGAATAAAACAGAGGTTATTAGATGTAAATAAACAAGAAATTTTAAGCAGAATTAAAGACTCTTCTAAAGGATATTTGTACCAATATCTTACTGATAACTTTAATTTGCAATATTATTTATGTAAGCCAATTGAAACGAAATACACACGTTTAATTACAAAGTTTAGACTATCTGCACCTAATCTTAATATAGAAACTCGGCGTCGTAGAAATATTGGAAGAAGAAATAGAGTGTGCATCAGATGTTATGGAGAAGATATTGAAGATGAATTTCATTTTATTTTAAAATGCCCATTTTATGAGGAATAAAGGAGAAAATATATAAAAAGGTTTTACCACAGACGTCCAAGTGTTTTCAAATTAATCAAACTTTTGAGTGTAAACAATGTAAAGGAACTTTGTAATTTGGGAAAATATTTGTTTTATGCTACCAAAAAACGTGAAAATCTCTAATAATGCCAACTCTTTTTGCTAGGATCATGTATACAGCTATATACATATAGGGTTCGAAAGGAGTTAGGGCTGACGGGAGATCACGGTCTAAATGGACCTAGTGCTTAATCAATAAATTGGTGAATATTTATGATTTTTTTTCTTTCTTTCTTTCTTTTTTCTTTATTTCTTTCTGTCTTTCTTTCTTTCTTTCTTTCACAACCATCTATAAAACACCACTCTTCACAGCCCCTCAACACCAGCTCGCCTATCATGATGCAATGTGCCCTTGTTGCCGATCTGCAGTGTAAGTAAAGTTACCACGACGCGCCTTAACCCTATGTCGATCTGTAGTGTAAGTAAAGTTAAGACGACGCGCAATACCCCTGTGTCGATCTGTAGTGTAAGTAAAATTATCACGAGGCGCCTTACCGCCTGTGTAGATCTGTAGTGTAAGTAAAGTTATCAGGACGCGCCTTACCCCTGTGTCGATCAGTAGTGTAAGTAAAGTTACCACGACGCGCCTTACCCCTGTGTCGATCTGTAGTGTAAGTAAAATTATCACGACGCGCCATACCCTATGTCGATCTGTAGTGTAAGTAAAATTATAACGACGCGCCTTCCCCCTGTGACGATCTATAGTGTAAGTAAAATTATCACGACGCGCCATACCCTGTGTCGATCTGTAGTGTAAGTAAAGTTAACACGACGCGCCTTACCCCTGTGTCGATCTGCCTTGTAAGTAAAATTATCACGACGCCCCTTACCCCTGTGTCGAACTGTAGTGTAAATAAGGTTATCACGACGCGCCTTACCCCTGTGTCGATCTGTAATGTAAGTAAAATTATCACGACGAGCCTTACCCCTGTGTCGATCTGCAGTGTAAGTAAAGTTACCACGATGCGCCTTACCCATGTGTCGATCTGTAATGTAAGTAAAATTATCACGACGCGCCATACCCTGTGTCGATCTGCAGTGTAAGTAAAGTTACCACGATGCGCCTTACCCATGTGTCGATCTGTAGTGTACGTAAAATTATAACGATTTGCATTACCCCTGTGTCTATCTGTATTGTAAGTAAAGTTACCATGACGCGCCTAACCCCTGTGTTGATCTGTAGTGTCGGTAAAATTATAACGACGCGTCTTTCCCCTGTGTCGATCTGTAGTGTAAGTAAAGTTATCACGACGCGCCTTACCCCTGTGTCGGTGTGTAGTGTAAGTAAAGTTACCAAGACGCGCCATACCCCTGAGTCGATCTATAGTGTATGTAAAATTATAACGACGCGCCTTACCGCCTGTGTCGATCTGTTGTGTAAGTAAAGTTATCACGACGCTCATTACCACTGTGTCGATCTGTACTGTAAGTAAAGTTATCACGACGCGCCATTCCCCTGTGTCGATCTGTAGTGTAAGTAAAATTATAACGACGCTCATTACCCCTGTGTCGATCTGTAGTGTAAGGAAAATTATAATGACGCGCCTTACCCCTGTGTCGGTGTGTAGTGTAAGTAAAGTTACCAAGACGCGCCATACCCCTGTGTAGATCTGTAATGTAAGTAAAATTATCACGACGCGCCTTACCCCTGTGTCGATCTGTCGTGTAAGTAAAGTTACCACGACGCGCTTTACCCTGTGTCCATCTGCATTGTAAGTAAAATTATCACGAGGCGCCATACCCTATGTCGATCTGTAGTGTAAGTAAAATTATTACGACGCGTCTTAACCCTGTGTCGATCTGTAGTGTAAGTAAAGTTATCACGACGCGCCTTACCCTTGTGTCGATCTGTAGTGTAAGTAAAATTATCACGACGCGTCTTACTCCTGTGTCGATCTGCAGTGTAAGTAAAATTATAACGAAGTGCCTTACCCTTGTGTCGATCTGCAGTGTAAGTAAAGTTACCACGATGCGCCTTACCCATGTGTCGATCTGTAGTGTAAGTAAAATTATAACGACGTCCCTTAACCCTGTGTCTATCTGTAGTGTAAGTAAAGTTACCACGAAGCGTCTTAAGTAAAAGTTACCACGATACCCTATGTGGATCGTAGTGTAAGTAAAATTATAACGACGCGCCTTACCCCTGTGTTGATCTGTAGTGTAAGGAAAGTTACCACGACGCGCCTTACCCTTGTGTCGATCTGTAGTGTAAGTAAAATTATCACGACGCGCCTTACTCCTGAGTCGATCTGTAGTGTAAGTAAAATTATAACGACGAGCCTTACCCCTGTGTCGATCTGTAGTGTAAGTAAAATTATCACGACGCGCATTACTCCTGTGTCAATCTGTACTGTAAGTAAAATTATCACGACGCGCCTTACCCCTGTGTCGATCTGTAGTGTAAGTAAAATTATAACGACGTGCTTTACCCCTGTGTAGATCTGTAGTGTAAGTAAAGTTATCACGTTATCATCAGACGCGCCTTACCCCTGTGTCGATCTGTAGTGTAAGTAAAGTTATCACGACGCGCCATACCCCTGTGTCGATATGTAGTGTAAGTAAAGTTATCACGACGCGCCTTACCTATGTGTCGATCTGTAGTGTAAGGAAAGTTACCACGAAGCGTCTTACCCCTGTGTCGATCTGTAGTGTCAGTAAAATTATCACGACGCGTCTTTCCCTTGTGTCGATCTGTAGTGTAAGTAAAGTTATCACGACGCGCCTTACCCCTGTGTCGATCTGTAGTGTAAGTAAAATGATCACGACGCGCATTACTCCTGTGTCGATCTGTACTGTAAGTAAAATTATCACGACGCGCCTTACCCCTGTGTCGATCTGTAGTGTAAGTAAAATTATAACGACGTGCCTTACCCCTGTGTTGATCTGTAGTGTAAGTAAAGTTATCACGAAGCGTCTTACCCCTGTTTCGATCGGTAGTGGAAGTAAAATTATCACGACGCGCCTTACCCCTGTTTCGATCTGTAGTGTAAGTAAAATTATAATGACGCGCCTTACCCCTGTGTCGGTGTGTAGTGTAAGTAAAGTTACCAAGACGCGCCATACCCCTGTGTCGATATGTAGTGTAAGTAAAGTTATCACGACGCGCCTTACCCATGTGTCGATCTGTAGTGTAAGTAAAATTATCACGACGCGGCATACCCTTGTGTGGATCTGTAGTGTCAGTAAAATTATAACGACGCGCCTTACCCCTGTGTCGATCTGTAGTGTAAGTAAAATTATCACGACGCGACATACCCCTGTGTCGATCTGTAGTGTAAGTAAAATC